AAAAAAAGATATTAATTGATGAACAATTTTAAAGCTTCTTTTTTACATTTTAAGCTGAAAATTATGAGAAAATAAAAATTTAAAGGGGCATTTTCAATCAAAAATGCACTTTTTTAAAAAAAAAATCATATTACAACTTGGAATCACTAAAAAATTCAGTAATATACCCCACCCCCCAAAAAAAAAGAAAAAGATGAAGATCTCTGAGGCGAATTTCAGCTATAAAACCAGACAACATAAGAAAATTCTTACTAAAATGAAGAAATGAAATTAACAATTAAATAATTATCAATAACAAAATAAATTAGAAATAGACTTCTCCTTAAAAGTGGTTAAGAAAAAAAAAATTCCTGAAAAAATAAAAGAAAAAGAGGCAATATTTTTATAAGAAATGGTAGCTTATTTTTACAAAAAAAGGTAAGAAGGGCACAATAGGGATCAGAAGGTAGGCGGGGAGGACCACCCTTTTAAAAACGCTTAGGAATAAAAAAGTTCATGATAATCCTATATGACTATTATAGTGATAAACTACCTCATCTTAATGATTCACTTAACTTATTCATAATTCACCCAATTGATTCATAATTCCCCAAACTGATTCATAAGAAAATCATATTCAATTTTCATTATGTATAATATTAGATAAATTCAAGCTTTATCATTTGAACTTCTTTAAAAAAAAGTATTGCTGGAATCATTAGATATCAGCTAACGACATAATGAATCATAAAAGACTGCATACTACAAAGATCCTATACAAAGAACAAACGAAGTTTTAACATTTATACAATGGTTATCGGTTTCTAATATACGCTTAAAGTATAATAATTATATTGCATTTCAAATTTAACCGAAAAATTTAACCATAAATTATTTATGATTAAATACATGAAGTGTTAGAATGTTTACATTAACAACCCCGCCCCCTGGCTATTTCATTGAGTCATCTAAAAACTTATTAATAATCAACAAAATTAAGAAGAAAGTAATTCACGCAGCGAAAAACCCGAAAATGAAATTCTAATGGATGTGATCGCCCCCAACATTAATATCATAAAGGGAAGTAAGTAAACAAAAGTAAGTTGCTTCAATCTATATTTACTTAATCAAAAAACACATTTATTTAACCACACGTGTTTAAAAAGATTTCGCTAGACATGAATTAATGAAGTAAATATTTTTTTAAATCAGCTTTATAAAATTTAAACATAATATAAATCTTATAAACAAATCTGTCAGGGGAACATTTTTAAAATACTTTACCCAAAGATCTGTACCCCAACTCATGACCAACAGGTATTCCTACAAGTACACTTGTTTTGTCAACAAAAAACGTTCACAGCACTGACAAAAAACATCACAATCCATAAGGCACTCAAATGCAATAGTAAAAATATTTATTGAATTATTATTTTAAAAAAGGGCTGTTTAAAATATTTCAACAACACAAAACTTTCAAAAATACTTGAAATCCATACGGAGTCAACACTATTGTATTCTGATTGGTATGATATGACATCAACATTTAGAACAAGAGTAGGATAAATTGAAGATTGCTAGTTACACGCCATCTATTGGCGAACGATATGAGCTAAAACTAGCGTAAAGCAGAAATCACATCACTAGCGTGTAAAGAGTTTTATTGTTGTTGTTGTTAATTTACGTCGCACTAGAGCTGCACAATGGGCTATTGGCGACGNCACAAAGGGACCAACATCTATTGGCGAACGATATGAGCTAAAACTAGCGTAAAGCAGAAATCTCATCATTAGCGTGTAAAGAGTTATAGGAAAAAGAAGTACGATAAATTCAGTCTTGTTTTCAAATAGAATAAAAACGTTTAAATTAAGAAACTATGCTGAACAGAAAACTACATTAAACATAGTTACATTACTACATACACTACATTAAACAAAAAAAGTCATGGAAATTATAAAAAACATTTTTGTTGCTGTTGTTGTTAATTTACGTAGCACTAGAGCTGCACAATGGGCTATTGGCGACGGTCTGGGAAACATCCCGGAGGATGATCCGAAGACATGCCATCACAATTTTGATCCTCTGCAGAGGGGAGGGCACCCCTGCTTCGGTATCCCGACGACCTACGCGTGAAGTCGAGCACTTTACGGTAGCACAGTTTAACGAGGACCAATACCGCACACCCTCGGTCCCAACGCAGACTGATCCAGGTGGTCACCCACCCGCACACTGACCGCAGCCAGTGATGCTTGACTTCGGTGATCTGCTGGGAACCGTGTCTTAACAATCAGTCCACTGCGGGACTAAAAAAAAAACATTTTTGACTGTAAAATACTAAAGAAGGAAGGGCAGAGGGATAGGACATGTGACCAGTCTTCTTTCTAGATGGCGTATTTGCGTCCATGAATTTAAGAAATATCTATTTAAATTTTCAGTGAGAGATAAGTAAATAGTGACGAGAAAAAGAAATAAAGCTTCAACTAATATTTCAAAAAATTTCTTGCATTTGTAAATAGTTCAGTACTGAAAATGCTTCCCTTACGAAAATTTACTACGCTAATGGTGAAAGCGAAAACCATTCCACAAAAAAAGATTTCAATACCAGACCAGTTGGCACACGAAAAAGAGGCAAGTCGAATTTGAGATGGATAGATGGCCTAGAAAAAGATCGTTTGGTCTTAAAAACTGGAAAACACTAGCAGGAAAAAGGTTTGCCTGGAAAAACCTTCTTGAGAAGGCCAAGGCCCACCCTGGACTGTCAAACCATTGATGATGATAATAATGGTGAGAGCATACGAAATGTTTCCATAGGTAGAGATTTCAGCTCTACGCCACCGGTAGCCCATTTCAATTGCCAATAAAATAAATTCCTTATATCAACTAAAGAGAGCCAGGAATTTATTGAGGTGTATGAAGTCTATTATTCATAGCTAAGCTTATTTCGAGGTTGTTTCAAGCTCACTTCATATCCACTAGACTGATGATATGATTTTAATATATATGTTGTTGTTTTTATTGTTGTTAATTTACATCGCACTAGAGCTACACAATGGGCTATTGGCGACGGTCTGGGAAACATCCCGAAGGATGATCCGAAGACATGCCATCACAATTTTGATCCTCTTTGAAAGGGATGGCACCCTCGCTTCGGTAGCCCGACGACCTGCGCGAGGAAGTCGAGCACTTTACGGTAGCACAGTTTAACGATAACCAATACCGCACACCCTCGGTCCCTTCACAGACTGATCCAAGGGGGTCACCCACTCGCACACTGATCATAGCCAGTGATGCTTGACTTTGGTGATCTGCTGGGAAATATACGTATAGATACAGTTCGTTTTCCGATGCTTATAACAAAAGAGGTTGTTGTTGACGTATGCCTGTTTAGGCAAAGGGGGTGTGATTAACGAAACAGGTATTTATGAGGTATAAAAAAATTTACCCTATTTCAACTAAAGAAAGTCAGGTATTTATTTAGGTGTATAAAGTAATGTTATTTATGCCTAAGGTTCTTTTGAGGTTCCTTAAAATTGACTATGTTTCAACTAGACTGATGATGTGATTATTAATATATGATACAACTAAACGGATATAAATCATTATTCGGATATACATATAAACGGATTATAATAATATTAAAAGAAATATTATTATATAATAATAATTTTATATATATTGAACGATTGTTGAACTATTGATTGCATTGATTAAAATATTAAAAATAGTGATTATAATTTTGTGAAACTCTGATGTTATTAACAGTATGAAAAGTCCTTCTCAGAATCAGCTTCAAAAATTGATTAAAAATCTATTAGTTGCATGAAATTTGATAAAAAGTTTAAAAATATCGTCTAATCTTATTGAACGTATGTAAAGGTTTCTAAGAAAAAGGAAAGAAAATCTAACTATCAAACTTTCAACGATAATGAAAGATGTAGGTTCAATTATGAGAGAATAAACAGGGCTAAAATTTCCTAATACGATTGGAATTACGTATTTGAATTTCTGTAAAGGTTGTTAATGGTAGTACTTTCCTCAGTGAATTTTTTGTGTGTGTGTGTGTGGCTGTAGTACTAGTCATACTTTAAACGCTTTTGGCCATAAGAATTGAATAGCAATGACGGAAGTGGAATGCAATTTATTTAAAAAGGAAAATTAATTTCATTAAATTAATTTAAATAACGAAAAAACAATTTTTTTTATACTAATTATGTTAAAAATCATATGATTCTAATATTTTAAAACCTGCCACTATTATTGTAAATTTTACTTTCTTACTAATTCATATATTTTACTTTTTGGTTCAATATCCTTGTTTTAACTGGGAGACAGAATCAATATTTAAAATAATTTTGTTGGTTTGTTAAAAAAAAATTACATTTTAGTTTTAAATTAAAATATTTTGGATGTCAACTGACTAATTATTTAAATTTTCAGTTTTATAGCTTTAAAAATTCAAGTATCTTAGGCATCTACCTTTTAAAAATGTGAGTTTTCACAATTGAATATTTTTAATTGTAGAAGTTGTGATAAGTATCATTTCTAGATAATTTAATCGAATCTACTAAAATTGCAGAAGAATTATGTATTTGATATTTTCTTTTATAGCTTAACAAAAGAAGCAATTATTGCCGAAGGTGTAATATTTAAAACTTGGTTGATTAAAAACAGGTTGATAAATTAGGATCTCTACTAGTGAAAATTTAAAGATATGCACTATTCTTTATATAATATAAATAATAGTGAGGTTAAAAACTTACAAACTACAGTTTATGAGTTTTTAACCTCACTATTATTTATATTATATGAAACCGGGAAAATATCGTAGCACATTCCTATACAACGGAGAAGAAGAGGAGAGGGAAAGGGTCAGACCATGGATTCGGTCTTCTCCCCAGATGGCGTTTTCGAGCACTGTGATCACGAATAAGAATCTTGGCAGTCAAGACAGTTCCTTTGCTATACATAAATTATTGCAGTAAGAATAAACCGTAAAACATTTTATGGAAATGATCCATATTTTTAACCGTCTAAGTTAGTTAACGGTAACTACTGAAAACGAAAACTAAAAATAAAAAAAAAGAAAGAAACAAAACAAAAAAATGTTGATCGACGCGAAGATGACCAGCACGTAGGGTGTATATCGTTTCCTGATATCTTCTGTTTTATTTATTTACTTCTAAAGAAATCTGTCTTTCAATATGCCTGGATTAATGAATGTTACAGATTTTGTTGCCGAGACCAGAGAGGACTACAATTCTCCAACTACATCATCCTTCGTCACTAAAATACCCCTATGTCGTCAAACAGTTAGTTCTCTAGAAGAGGTAGGGTGTAAAAACAATGCAATGTTATTCACATTTGTAAAAAAGAAAAATCTGTTTACATTTATTATCTTCTAACATTTAGGTGCTATTTTATACCAAAGGGTACAGGGAGATTAACGTTAAGCAAGAAATCATTGCTAATTAGCAGAGAAAAAGCTTCCTGTAATTAAAAATGACAAAAAAATATTTATTGAAATTTATCGTCTTAGGCGTCCAATAATTTGAACTGTTTTTATTTGAATAATAGTTTGATGATAGATAAAGTTGTGTAAAACCGGAATTAAAAGTAATACTTGTCATATAGAGTGTTGTTTTTTTAGTTCCCTTTTCACAATTATTTAAATATTCAACCTCCAAGCAGTTGAATATTCGTCTAATTCTGATTTGTTAAATGTTTTTGCAAATATCGGTAGTTCCAGGGTTGTCATGATTAAAACTGTGACTTAAATCACATGATTTTTTTTAAGAATAATTACTAATTTATAATTATGATTTATAAGAAAGTTGTTGATTTTATTAAAATAAATCTTAAGTCCTTTTCGGAATAATTTGAATATTCTATCCTCAACCAGTTGAATATTCGTGTAATTCTGATTTGTAAAATATTTTAATAAATATTGATAGTTTGCAGGATTGTTATGATTAAAATTGTGACTTAAATCACTCAATTTTATTTTTAAAATAATTACTGATTTATAATTATGATTTTTAAGAAAAATCATTGATTTAATCCAATTGATTTTTTTAAAAATAAATCCGAAGTCTGAAATATTTTTATACCTAATTATTTATAAATATGTTTTTTTTTTTTAAGTTGTGATTGTTTGATCATTGCAAATGAAGATTTTATCTAAAGAAATAATGAAAAGAAATTGCATGTAAATTATTATATTTTAAACTAGGCTTTATATAAAATTGGCTAGTAAGAGTGACTTGAAATTGTTAAAGTATATTTCCTTGTTTGCTGAGTGTAAAATAATTTGTTGGTTATAAACATATATCAATTATAACTATTTTATTTTTTATTAAATTCAATACAAGTGCTTTTAAAACTTAATAAACTTGTAGTTATTGTATATCAATTATGAGAAAAACTTGTGCAGCTCAGAGAAACTGAAAATAATATTTTTTTAACATATGCAAATCGAAACTAATGTGCTCTTTGTTGGATGTTTTTGACAAATTGTTCCTCTGTCTTCAAAATTTTAGAATGTTTAGCTTGAATAAAGGGGAGATTTCCGTATCGTGATCTGTGGCAGAATAATCGCCAAGTCTTGGAAACTTCCAGGCAGTGGCCCCTCAAGAAACTAAAAAAAAACATCACACAAAGGGACCAACTCGAAAGGTACAACTCTTGGCAAACCCTGGGCAAACATCTACATGTTTTTTTTAAAAAAAATTGCAAGTTTGAAATCTATTTGGCACCTTGGCGATTGTAGTTGGCGGGACAGATTACGATGCGGAAATATCCCCTGAATAAATATAACTATGATTTTATTTGTAATTAATTTGTTTGTAATAAATGAATTATAATTTTTGAAACATTTTAGTTTTAAAATATCAACTTTTTTAGCTATATTAGTGATTTTAAATATTAATAGATGTCCTTAATGCATTTTATCAGATAATTTGACAGGTAAATATTAAAAAATCTTGATTTGAACCAATCCTGGATTGTTGCATCATAGATAAAGGTCGTAAGTTATATAAGAGTAAATAAGCTATCAGCATATTATTCTGTCTTTTCCGATTTGCAAAGTTTTAATATTTTTTTCTATAATCAAACCTATTTATATAAAAGAGACTTATTTAAATTTTTAGGATAATGAAGTAGTTTAAGAATAAATTGTACATGTATTTTTATGTGTAGAATTAATTTATTTCATAATAAAGTGGACATTGTAAAATAAATCTAATCAAGAGAGAAATTATTTTGCAATGAATAATGTCTTTTCATAATTTATTTTGTTTTGAAAGCATTTATCTTAGTTTAATATTCTTTGTAAACTTTAAACATTATATACTTAGTAAATTGACTTCATAGGGTTTGTAGTATTTTTAAAAAGTGCTTAAGGGTGCTTATTTTTAAGTCACGTTTTTTAAAATCTGTTACATTTTTGGAAATATTCAAAATTTTAAGTGCAAAAAAATTCTGAGTTTTAGTTTTATGTGCAAATTTTTTCCAGCGATTGTTGTTCATTAAATCAAAGCTAAATATCAGTTAAATTAAAGCATTTTGGTACCCTTTTTGTCAGGACAGAGAAAATACTTATTAAATAATTCCTTAAAACAAAGTACATTATATCAAGGTTCGACTGCATATCTGCCGAGTATCCTGTTTTTTAACGGAGACTCCTGTATTTCTTCCATTTCCGATGATTCCTGTATTTCCTATCTCCTGTTTACCTGCATATTTTCAAATTTCTCTGTATTTGTCGAGGAAATTTTTTTTTTAAAATGGCCATAAAATATCCGCTGATGGCTATTATATTTCTCTAATTCCTCAACAGATGGTTCAATTGCCAATACTGTTGTTGAGTGTTAATAGTTTAAGTAATAATAAATTATGGTTAAAAAAAAATCATCTTTAGATTAAGATTTATGAACATATTTTTTTCTTCCCTAATTGTAAGCGCTTATATTATTTCCAATTTTGAATTTTGACTTACATAGTATATTAAAACACTTTACTCATAGCCTAAAAAATTTCATTAGTCAAATCTCCATTATTTTATTTCTTAATTGTTGGCAGGTATGATATTTTTTGAAGCATGCTTAAAATACCTACGTAATTAAAAAATGTATTTTTAAATTAAATCAATAAGTATACACTTAAAAAAAATTGTGAAATTATTTCAAAACTAACTTTAGTTTAATTATTATAAAAATTTTTAAATTTTATTATGTGCAATTCTTTTTAATTTAAATGTATTATATTAGGTATATATACTTTGTAAATGTATGTGTATAAGTATGTGTACTTAGATTTATTACTGTCTATGGAAGCTATACACTTTTTTTTTTATTGTGGCCCTCAGTAGATAGTGCATTGCTATTAACATTAAGTGAACTCTTTTATTAAAATTTATATTTTAATTTATTATTTAATATTTGTTTAATATTAACCTCTTTATGTAGACACTTGATTTTGATCGAGATGGCCTAACCAAAATGAAAAAAGCAGTAAAGGCAATTTTTAACAGTGGTAATGGTAAGTTGGATCATTATTTTTGTTTTTAAAAGTATTTCATTGATAATTTGAAAACTATAACCTGATGTTCATAGCTTTAAATTGTTTTTTCAAGTATTTAATAATGTTTTTTTTTAAAAATTAATTTTCTAAATTATTCATTGATTACTACTATTTTTTATTAATATTTAAAGAACTTATGTATATATAATTATGTTATAAGTATGTTTTTATCAGGGTGCGTAGTATATTTAAAAAGGGCTTAAAGGTGCTTACTTTTGATTTACCTTTTTTAAAAGCCCTTAAAGGTGCTTTTTTGTTCGGGATTGATAAAAAGTGCTTAATCTTTTAAAAAGAGATTTTTTCTTTGACGCATCGATTGTCGTTCTAAATTAAAAAAAAAAATGCATGATTTTCACGATTTCTTTGCGATATTTATCAGAAACTAGTTATTTTATCATGATTATGTAAAGTTTTTATAAATGTTTTTGAATTTTATTGATTTTGTGTTTATAAATTAAGAACTTTAAACGATATATAAAAAATAATTTTTATTACTACACAAATCCTACTATATACATATATATATATACAGTCGAACCCCGCTATAGTGAACCGTCTGCGGATTCAGTAATGTGTCCACTATAACCGATAGTTAACTATATCCAAATTTTTTGAAGAATATTTTTTGCATAAGACAGTTGAATGATTGAAAATTGGCTTTGCAATTTTGCATAAGTTATTTAAAAAATTATTAACTAATTTACAGATAATAAAGCAAAAATTGATGGAAAAAGTAATTACGTCGCTAAATATTAGTTTTATTTTCACTTTTTATGAAAAAAATTTGTGATTTTTGATTGAACACAATTTGATTTTAAATTGAGTTCATCAATTTTCTTATCTACANGCTTAAAATGTATTTAAAAAGGTGCTTCTTTTTTGTTGAGAAATCTTGCTACGTACCCTGTTTGTGTTATTATGATGTAATGAAATCATAAAAGGAATTTAAGATACTTTCTGTAAGTTTCTCAACTATAGAAAAATGTTCTCAACTATAAGTATGATGAATAATAACTTGGAAATTTCTGAGTAGCCACTTGATTGACCTTAATTTTAAATTTCTATCTTCATCTACAAAAAAGTACCCTAGCAGCAATATAACTGGAGCCAATATTCACGAATCATGGCTCAATAAGGGTTCAAAGGGCCGTTATTTCAACAATATTGGAATAGAATATAGAATTGTCAGATTCACCCGATATTTTGTATTTATTATTCACCCAATATATGCCTTATATTGGTCACTTGGTGCATGTTCATACAGGCCAAAAATTGCTAGGAAATTTTTTGTGTGATTTTTTTAAGTATTTTCAAAATTTAAAAACTTTCCATCTTACCTTGATATTCAAAAAGTGTCTCAGAAAGTCTTATGTTGCCACTGGGCATAGAAAGTAAACTTTTGATATAGTGAACAGCAATAGTGAAGCAATAGTGAAAAATGAAAAATTGACATCCTTAATAACATAATGATCAGAGTATTAGGATTTAATCTTTATGATTCTGGGGCCCAACCTTAAATGGGCTAATTTGTTTGTGTACAGTAGGGGTGCACAACCTTTTTGAGTGAAGGGCCACAGCAGATTGACTAATGAAGGGCCCCAATTATTTCAACAAACATATTGACAGCTATTGTTCTAGGCACTAAATTCTTTTTGTCATTTAACACGTTGATTGCCATGGGGGTCACCGGTGATCGGCACAGAGTTTGTTCGTAGCTCCACGGTGGTCACCAGAAACCGGCGTATCCAAGATTGTTAGAATCACATAATTCAAGTAAATTTTTACTTTTTTATATTATTATCATTACTAAAATGGTTTGAAGAAATTAATGCAATATAGAACACACAAATAGTTTTATTTATATACACAGAGATGCCAAGTTGCTCCTGACAGCGAATAAATATTTTCAAGTTTATTAATTGTGATTCTTGGTTTAATAAATTCAATTTAGTGGATTTTTATCCACCACTATTTCTGAACAATTAGCAGGCTTACGTAATTCACCATTTTTTTTCCAGATATGTCATGTTAAACCTTTTTAAAAAAACTAGCAAAATCTGTCTTAACATTTGCATATTTAGATTGTTAGTAGTTATTTACCGTTTGGCCAGACGGACAAGCCATGTGAAATTAGAGTGGCATTCAACGTGTTAACTTTGTAATTTGTTTGCATAAAATTAAATACTTTTAAATGTTTAAAATTAGAAACTGCAAAATTTAATAAAATAAAAAAAATAAAAAAAAAACAGAATCAATTTATCAGAAAAAAATTTTGATAAACTGAAATAATTAAAAACTATGTAAAAATTCATTTTTTTGTCATAATACATAACATTTATAGTCCATTTAAACATAAATTTTAACATTGAAAAATTTGTGCATAGAATTAAATTTAAAAGAAATAAATATTCTAGTTATTAAAATAAATGCAAGTTAGATACTTTGATTTAAAAAAAAGTTTATGGGGTTAAAAATTATTAAAATTAAAACAAAACTGCTTCAGTGGAAAATAAGATTCAACATTTAGTAGGGAATATAGAGACAGGGGCTGAGAGAGGGAAGGAAAAGAAAGAAACAGTGAAGGAACTATTTTCCTTTATAACAAAAAAACTTTATAAGATACTTTTTTACAACTCTTCATGACGATTATTTTTTTAACATGACACTTAAGAATTAATTAAAATTTACATTACTTTACGATACTTATCTTGATTACATTTTTTTACAGTTAAAATTTAATGATATACAAATCATTTCCGGCATAAAATCATAAATGATAGAATGGTCCACATAGGTAGAAAATGGTTTGGAATGGATCATGTCATAACTTTTTTGAGCCATTAAATGAAAATTTAATGATTTTGTTTTAAGACTGCTCTGTAATTTTGTACATGCCAAATTCATTCTGGAAAACAGTCTTTCGACAGAAGCTGTTGTTGTGGGTAGTATTAAATTTAAGGCAAATTTAATCAATTCTGGAATAACTCCAAGATGGTGTTCTTCCTTTCCTGATTTTTAAATCGCATGAATACAACTAGCATAGCTGCTAACTCTACTGGATTTTGCTAGTTTCTCCAGGTCTACTGGTGTAATAAAAATTCTGGTTTTTTCATTTTAGAAAATTCTCTAAAATTAAATAAGTTTCTTAAAAATATCCCTATAGAAATTAAGTTTTCAATAGGGCTAGTTATACTTATTTATTAATCCAAGTTAACGGTAAAATTATGAGGTATACTTATTTTAATATTCAACCAACGTTTCGGCTTGAATATTTAAATAAGTATTACTAATATATAATGAAGCGAGCCTCATTTACAGAAATTAGTTTAAGACCTTTTCCTTTTTGTTCTAAAATGTTTATTTTTATTCCCTTTTTAAATAAATTAAAAAATCTTAATTTTTTTCATGAATTAAATGCCTATTACTATTCAAAATTACGAATAAACATAATGCACATCATTTCAAGCATATTTAATGCCAGTTATGACTAGAAAATATTGCAGTTTTCCTTTTTTGGTGACTATAAAAATCCGTAATATTCCCTATATGTCAAACTTTTTAGTAACTTATGCAAAACAATTATCATGAAATTAATTTTCGTAAAATCTACTGGATTTTTTCCTATCTATGTTGGCAGCTATGAAATAGAGATGTGTTATATTTAAATTGTTTGAATATGAATTGTTATGTGTGATTTTTAAATTTCGTAAATAAAAAACACGATGAGTGGTTTTAAAATCACGCATATATGAACCGAGATGTATGATTTTTAAATTGCGAGAAGTCTCACAACGTATGAATTTTAAATTGCGAGAAGTCTCACAACGTATGATTTTTTGAATGCGTGAATATGAATCGTGACTTGTGATTTTTAAATCGCTTGAATATGAATCGCGGTGTATGATTTTTGAATTGCGAGAAGAGTTACAGTGAAGGATTTTTTAAAAGCCTAAACACTAATCACAATATGTGATTTTAAATCTCGTGAGTACGAATCGCAATGGATAATTTTCAAATCTCGTTAATGTGATGTGCAATTTTAAGATCACTAAACACGAATTACGATATGTGACATTTAAATTGCGAGAAGAATCAAAAAGGCTGATTTTTAAAATGCATAAATACAGATCGCAATGTGTGATTTTTAAATCATGTGACAAAAAGAATAGGTTGGGTGTCTGTTGTAAAATTTGCACGTGTTCATGGAACTAAAGTTATAGGCACATGTTTTAAATTATTTTTTTGCAAAAGGGACCGAGTTTAATATAAATCTATGCATCTCGTTTTTTTTATTTTTTTTTTTTTTACTTTCTTCGGGAAGGGGTCGATTTTGGAGATACGTAATTACTTTTTTTTAAATTACTAAAAAGATTTAAAACAGAATTGAGTTTTAGCAGTTGTAATATTGTATTAAAATATCAGGATATTTAAAATCACATAAAAATGTAGCAATAACGGGGGGGGGGGGAATGAAACACGTCGAAAAACCTTTTTATATTTATCTTAAAATTATCACAAATACAGCACGTAAAAAGTAATTATTCTAATGCATGATTCAAAACTCGCGTGCTGTCAAATTATAGTATAAAACATATTAGAATTTTTTTAAATCACTGGGAAGAGCATAGTAATAAGTACCAAAAAAACTATCAAAATACCTTTATATTTACGATGAAATCTGTGTAAATAAAGTGCATCAAAAAATGATGTATTGAAATGCAGGATTCGAAATTAAAGTGTCGCAATAGCGTATAAAAAATATCGGGACTTTCAAAGCATTGTAGAAATGTGTAGCAATAATTACTAGAATAACCATTGAAAAATAAATTGATTTGCAATAAAATCGGCACAAATAAATCACGTCAAAAATGGTTATCTAAATGAGTAATTCTTTACTCATGATTCGTAATAATATCGTGCTTAAATATAAAAATTTTAAAAACCACAAGAAAATATCTGCTATGAGAATTCCGGACAATAACTGCCGAAAAAAGGATCAAAAGTCATTTAGATTTGACATAAGTTTGCATAAATATAACGTTTCATAACTTACATAAATCGCGATTTCGGAAACTGCACGAAGAGCGTCAAAAGTGATAACTAAATTTCAAAATTTGTGTATTGTAATAATGATGTATTAAAGATATTGAGATTTTCAAAACTAAGTGTAAATCCGTAGTGTTGACCAATGAAAAATAGCGATCGAAAAACTACATTGAATGCGTAAATTTCAAATTTCCGAAATAATTTTTTATTTTTTAAATGGAATTGCTTTTTCAAAATTTTTTTCAGATTTTGTCCGCTGGCCGCAGGTTGTGCACAGTGCCCATAAGCAAAATATTTTTAAATGTACTGCAGCTGGATTTATTAATTTATACAAATGTTCTGTAAGCATTTCACAGCAAAAAAAGTCAACTTCACGTTAAAATACTATATTTTCATTGATTAAAATACAGGATCATACATAGATACGCTACATTATTTTTTAAACCATAGCAAACATTCTTGATTTGTTACTTTTTCAATCATTTTTGAAGTACTAAATTTTGTTTATGACGATGATGATGACTTATTAATAAATGACTATGATATGAAGGTCCGGACATAAAACTTAAATATCTTTCGAAGGGACAATTACCCAGATGGTGCACCATTTGCAAACACAAACATTTGCTGGTCTGTTGTTCCCACAATTTCTTCATCTCCATCGAAAGCATATGGTCTTTTAGAATCGCTGTCACTTATTCAAGATACAAATTGCTCTGCTGGACTTTGTTTGTTCTGCGACGTTCGTCACAGTTTTAGGCACTTTCTGCTTCTGGGCCCTAGTGTACAGAATATTTTAAGTTATGAAATCAGATGCAATAAAATTTGAATTAGCATGTCTGTTTTTTGACAGATTTGAATCAAGACAGGTGTGTGTGGGTGGGGGGTAGCTGCAATCTGGACAATTCGGTTAGAAACGTAGTTGAAAGTTAGAATTTTTAATTTCACTTTTTGCATATTTCATCAAATCTCTGAAACCTTTGAAGTGAATCAAGACAGTTTTGCACACAATTAAAAACATTTTTTTTCCAAATATAATTGCTTGTAAAAAATAATTTTTAATAATTATTTACAACTTTTTATTATTTTATTTAACTTAAGTGAGTAAAATAAATCTAATAAATATTTCAGCACACGTGGACAATGAAGTTTATTTATCTAAAGCATTAGACAGGCTTGGAGCAAATGCCATGACAAAGGACCAAGAACCTGACATAGGTATGCAATTCATTTTATTATTATATTTCATTTTTTGTACCAGTTGCAAATAATAAGGCTATTGTAGTAATTGATTTTTACTTCTTTAACACAATATTAACGGGTATTTACTGATACATTCAGCATGTTTCAAAACTTCTCCAAAACAACATTGTTATTACTACATTTAAATATTACATTACATATTACATTATAAATATTTGAATTAAAAAAAACAAGTTTAGTTGGCTGATTGAATAACAACTGGGAATCGCATTGGAATCAAGCATGCCAGAAAGTGATTATTTTATAAATTGTTAGTTGTTACTCTGAACCAAAAATTTCCAGTTGTAATAACATATTATTAATTTAAAATATGTTGTTGCACTGTTGTTAATGATCAAAACATACTTAGAATCTTTTCAGTCGAAAAACAAAGTTAAAACTCTATAAGACACTCATACTTCCTGTGCTGGTTTATGGAAGCGAAACCTGGACCCTAATTTCAGGTATACAGCGGACACTGGACACCTTCGAAACAAAAGATCCTCAGAGCCATCTTTGGCGCAATTCAAGAAAGGGGTTGCTGGCGAACCAGATATAACTTTGAGCTCTACCGACTCTATAAATAATACCAAATTGCACAAGTAATCTGCAGTAATAGGCTGACATGGCTGGACCATTTATGGAGAAGCCCTGAAAATAGCTCAACGAGAATCGTCACCTTTAGGAACCCAGAGACAGACCACTTACTAGATGGCTCAACGACATCGAAAATTACCTGAAAACTTTAAAGATTAGAAATTTGAAGTGAGTTGCCATGGATAGGAGACGCTGGCATTTTTCAGCTGTTGAGGCAGCCAAGGCCTGCAAGGGGCTGTTGTGCTGTCAAGGAAGAAAATTTATTTAAAATATGGAATTTGAAAAGCCACATCTCCAAAACAATGATAGTATTTACAATGGGTTTTTCTCAAATTGAATGTGTTAAAATATGATGGCTCAAATTCGAAATTCTCGTGTCTTTGCAATATTGTAATAAAAATGTTGCAATTTAGAAAAAACCATATAAAATTACTCAAAGGACTGTAAGTAACTGCTAAAAAAAGTAATGATCTTCTAACAACGTGGATTTATGAAAATATTGCAACAATCCGGGAAACCAAAAATACTTTCCTTATGTTTTCAAAATGGGATGCCTGCAAGTGACATAGTGTGGGTATCTTGATCCTGATTGGTTGTTGAAACGTGGCATTTGTTTACATTAGCAATTTTTTCCATTTTATTTCTAATAAGTCAAGCCCATCAAGTATCAATTCTTTTATTTTCTTTTACAAGGATTTCAGTTCTTTCACTTTATGTTTTAACACAAAGACAGGTACAAAGCCAAGTGGAACATGAACAAACTAATTATGCTTTGAAGTTGCCAGATGCCCAAAACAAAAATATATCATGGTTACAATGAAATACAGAAACAAATAATAAATCTAAGTTGAGTATAAGAATTATGTTTCAATAAATTTGATGTGTGATTTCGCACTGCATTTAATTAACTTTACGTTAGTTAACATTCTAACTTCTGTGGGGAAACTTAGGTTAACTTTACTCGCTATTTTGCTTATAAACGATCAGCCAGTGCTGAAGTCATAGGTCACATGTGTCTGTAGCTGCCAACTTTCCTGTATTTACCAGTCGACTACTGGATTTTGCAATTTTCACCTGGTTTACTGGTCTAATAAAAATTCTCCTGGTTTTCATACATTTTAGAAAATTCCCTATAATTGAATAAGTTTTTGAACAAAAATCCTTATTGGAATAGAATTTTTTACACAATTTATCACTTGCTTGAATATTTAAATACTAGTGCATAATAAAATGAGACTCACTTATAGTAATTAGTTTAAAGCTTTCCTTTTTCTGTGTTCTAAAAATTTCAGTTTATTTTTATTCTGTACTATCTTTTTAAATTATAAAATAATATAAAGTAAAAATCATTAATTTAGGTTACATGTATACACTAATTCTTAAAATAAAGTTTGTTTGCGAATCAAACTTATCACAGAAAGGGCATTAAGATGAACTCAATCTAGGTTTAACCAAATAGAAGAGCAAATATAAATATTATAAAATTATTTAAGTTTTTGTATATTGATGACAATAAAAATTCCCAAATTTCCATATATGAAAAATATTAAAAATATTATGGAACAATCATCATAAAATTTATATTATTTATCCATCATAAAATTTAAATATTTATATTATCTACTGGATTTTTTCCTATCCATGTAGGCCGCTATGATGGTCTTCTTGAAGTGCAAGTACCCAATTGCTACTCATATTATAACACATGTGATTGTTTTATTATTTAGGTGCAGCTTTCATAAAGTTTTCTATTGTTACAAAAGAATTATCAGCCTTAATGAAAACCCTTGTAAGTTTTTTAATATTTTAATTTTAAAAAAAAAAACTTTTTGTATCTGTATATATATTTATAAAATTTTTATTGGTTTGGAATTGTATAGCATCTTTTTTTTCTTTCAATTTAGATGCAGAATTTAAATAACATCATAATGTTCCCACTAGATAATTTATTGAAAGGAGATTTAAAAGGTGTCAAAGGTGTAAGTATATTTATTTTCCTTTGTTTTATTGATGACAAAGCTTGTTAGCATAGTTATCTTTTTTTAAATTGTACCAATCAATATAACGTTATGTGTGAAAGGTGATTAAAATTCATTATCAAGACAAACTATTAAAAAACAATAGTTGTTACTAATAACACTCAATTTAAGTAATTAAAATATTTTATTGATAGTTAGTTGAATAGTTATGCGAATTACACCTGGCCAGGTAATTAAAAATTTAATTTCACAACTAAGATGTTAGGACGACATTTAAGATACTGTGATATTTTAAGACGCTTGAAAATTTTGGCTACGTATTCGACAACTTTTTATGTTTGGTATCTTTATACTCTTTGTAGTGACTTATAAAACATCAACTCTATTTTAGATCAGCTATGTTGAAGTAACAAGATACAGTAAAAAAGGACAATCAATAATTTATCTTCATTTTTCAAAAAAATAGTATGCTTAGTAAATAATCAGCTGTTTTGCATTGAATAATTTTAAACTGCAGAATGTTTTTAATTTCTTAATAAGATTTTATTCTAAACTAGCAGACAATAATTCTAAGTTTTCTTTCAATAAAAACTTGACAATAATTTAAAAAGGAATTTTACTTTGAAAGAAGAACTAAATTAAAATACTGAAAAACACTGATTAGTATATTAATGAAAAAGTAATGTATGTGGTAGCGTGAAGAATGACATTTTTAAAAATGTTAAAATTTATTTAAATATTTGGTAAAATAATTCTACAAAGCACTAAATAAAAAAATTATTTTAAGATTAAGACAATCTATAAGATCTTGATCAATTTTAAGATGCTTAAAAATGTTGACTAAGTATTCATATTAATAATTATAAAATATATCTTGAAGAAATAGATAAATATATTATTCCAAATCTGCATACATATGTATATTAGTGAAATTGTATCAATTAATGGAGAAACAAAGTAAAAAATAAAATATTGTCACATTAAATATCACAATCTAATGTATAATCATATTCTATCTGAAACATGCTTTTATAAAACTCTACATTTGTTAAATAAATTGTTTTTTATTCAATAAAATGTTTAGTTAAATTTCTTTACTAAATTATGAACACATTCTTAGAAAATTAGAAAAGAAACATCATATTTTATGATTAAAAGAAAGGGATTAGCAATCGGTTATTGGCAAAAAAATATGAATGAAATTTTACGCGACGCACGCAGGAGACTTCCTCGTAAGTTTACCACATTTAAATATAATTATCGCCCCATTTAAAAAATTTTTCATTGTTGCCAAATTATTTTTTTAAAAATAATTTATTTTAATTTTTTTCAGCTTCTACTAAATTAAAAAAGTTGAAACCTTAGATTTTCTCAATCTAAAAATATGTAGATTAATATGGTATAAAAAAAATTTATGCCTCAAAATTCGAAATTTTTTCATGCTCAACTAAAAAGAATAATAAATAATTATAAAAAAATTTTTTGCGTGAAATTCTCTTCAGGTAAACGTGTTTTATGAGTGGGTGCAATTTTTTTTGTGCTTCCTCGTTAAAAGGTCCGAACTTTGAATCGCTCTCCTAACCAAACTAGGGGGCCATATTTCCTGGACTGCTGCTACCCCCTATAATTTGAAGGATAAAAATCAAAATATGTAAAAAAAAAATTTTTAATTCTGAGACTGTTTTTCTGTCCAATTTTGTAACTTAATTAATAGGTAGCAAATAAGTTGAATTTTTGAGGTAACCCCCAAGAACCATTAAGATTGACAGTGCATGAAAATCCAATCATTAGAACAAAAGTTATTCAATGTGATATGTTTTTTTTTGTATATTTTTGTACCTACTTAATTTTGTTTTGTTGAGTTTCAAACTAGATGTAGATCCCCCCTCACTTTTATTAATGCTTAAACACATTTTACACCCATTACTTTCATTACATGCTTTAGGCTACTAAAAGCAACTATTTTGTTCATTTTTTTCTGTGGCAACCCTGGAAATAGTTATACCTTGTTACCAAAGTCACTGCCACAGATCCAGACAAATGACTAGGGGACTTCTTACTTTAGACAAACTATATACATAATGCAGTTTCAGGCAAAAACAAAAGTACATTTTTAAATAAAAGTTTTTCTTTGATTAACTATTTTCAGTATTTATTTATTTTTTTATAAGCACACACAAAAAGTTTTTTTAAAAAAAAGTGGAGAAAAAAGGAGAGGTCAATTTTAATATGTAAACAGATTAGCTGAGACTTCTTAAAAATCTTGAAAGAGCTAGTTTTATGGAGATAGATTTAATAACATTAAAATATAATTTTTAAGTAAAAACTTCCTTCTTCTAAATATTTAAATGTTTTTAATTTAAAATTGTTATGGTTTTGTTCCCCTTTATCAAATACTTCTTAATTATCTTAAGGTTTTTGTTAGTGTAATTAAATTGTGTTTGAAGCACTTTGTTTTTTACAGGATCTCAAAAGGCCATTTGACAAAGCTTGGAAAGACTATGAAACTAAAATGTAAGTATTTTTTCATTTTCTACTATTAGTTCACACTCTCCCTATTACTTGTTCAAATTTTCAATTGTTAATAAAATACTTTTTATTCATCCCCTCAAGTTCAAATCCAGTTTTTTTTTGAACTTGTAGTGGATGACACTTGATGTTAATACAGTTTTTTTCCAGATATTTATTCATTAATTAAACAGGGATAAGCTAAAACGAAATTTTAATTTCTGATCAGTTGAACATTAGTCATTGTTTTAAATTTTACTATAAGCTTTTAAATTTTTCACACATTTTAAAGATAACATCAGTGATCATTTCTAACTTATAGCTATTTGAACAAAAAAAAAGATAGTTCATTAGGCACATTTAAGTGTTTAATTATTTTATATTTGCTGTGTCCGATAAATTCAATAAAGAATTTGGTCCATGTCACCAAATTTTTAAAAGCTGCCTGTTACCACACGCCTTTTTTTTTCTTCTTTTTTTTTTCAATTCCTTCTATTAGTTCAGACTCTCCCTATATATATTTATATATCTTGTTCAAATTTTCAATCTTTAATAAAATACTTTTTATTCATCCTCTTAAGCTCAAATACAGTTTTTTAAACTTGTGGTTAATAGTAATAGTTGACACTTGATGTCAATACAGTTTTTTCAAATATTAATTCATTAATTAAATTTAATTAATTAATTTTAGTTTTATATGGGTGAAAAAATTTTAATCATTTAATAAAAAGTAACTAAAATAAATATTTTCTTTGTTGACCTATATATATTTATATATCTTGTTCAAATTTTCAATCTTTAATAAAATAATTTTTATTCATCCTCTTAAGCTCAAATACAGTTTTTTAAACTTGTGGTTAATAGTAATAGTTGACACTTGATGTCAATACAGTTTTTTCAAGTATTAATTCATTAATTAAATTTAATTAATTAATTTTAGTTTTATATGGGTGAAAAAATTTTAATCATTCAATAAAAAGTAACTAAAATAAATTTTTTCTTTGTTGACCTAAGTAGGAATTGACTTTTTATTACTTGTTTTAGAGTTATAATTATTAAGTGGTTGTTTTTAATTACTTTTACATACATATACTTAATGCTATATTTTATTTTAGATCTAAAATTGAAAAAGAAAAGAAACAGCAAGCAAAAGAAGCTGGACTAATACGAACTGAAATATCACCTGCTGAGGTAGTTCTTTTCTTCAATTTATTTTAAGTGTTAAAATGAATTGCCTAATATTTTGCTTTATATATATGTTTATGCAATAAAATCTACCCTTAATTATATCAGAAATACTATTTTAGTTTAGAGGACCTGTAATTCAAATGTCGAACTTCTGTCCAGAAGGACAAGTGTTCAATCCCTGTTGCCGCTAACCGTAACAGAAATTTGAGTAAAATTTTATTCCCCTTTTGATCTGTGTCTAAAATATGAAAGCGGTTTCTCAAATGAGTGGTGCTGCCATCTGCCTGGGAGGTTCTGAGCTATGATGCAGTTTCACTTTAGAGTTGCTCTCTTGTCACACGAAAAGCTCTCCTTCCTGACTTAATTCGCGAGGCCAATGGTTGTATTGTGTAAATCTCATTGGAAACAACAAAAAATTAGAGGAAAGCTAGCAATAACTAGAGCAAACTAGAATATGGCTAAATAAAAGGATGGCCAAATTCATTGAAGCAGGAGTGATTGCATTCCTGGTTTTTCGCAACATTCTTCCGGGTCTAAAAACTAAAAGCAGGGTATGCGATTTTTACACAAATATTGCAAAATTCTATGATTTAAAAATCATACATCGCAATTCTTATTCATGTGATTTAGAAAATGCAATATCACGATTTGTATTTACGCGTTTATAAACCAAATATTGTGATTCACATTTAAGCGAGTTTAAAATCCAATGAAGTGTTTTCATGTTTGTAATAACAAACATGAATTTTTCACTTATATGTGATTTAAAAACTATGCATTGCAATTCGTATTCTCAAAATCTGATAATTATGCTCTATGATTCGTATTTGTGTATTCGTATTAAAAATTCATCATTGTAATTTGTATTTCGGCTTTTTTTAAAATCCAATATCATGATTCATATCCATGCCAGTTTAAAATCCAATAAAGCTATTCATATTCACACCAATATAGTGATTCTTGTAAGAAGTAATTTTTTTATTGAATTAGTTACTATAAAGATGTGATATTCTGCACTAGTAAGTAATTAATTATAAATGTTTGTTCAAAAAGTTATGTTGAATATTAAACATGCATGATATATAAATTGATATATATATATATTTTTTTTTTAAAAACTTTTTCGAAAAAAAAAAAACATTTATTTACTTTAATAAACTGTTACTTTTCTGTTTTATATATTATCTAGTTCTAAAATATTCAATTTAATCTTTTTTTTTTTTTTTTTTTTAAGATTGCAGAAGAAATGGAAAAAGAAAGGAAAATATTTCAACTCCAAATGTGTGAAGTATGTTAGTTTGTACATAATTTATTTATAGTAACTACCATGTATGTATTTCAATAGATATCATTTTTATGGTTCCTCTTTGTTGACTGCCAAACTTTATAGATTCAAAATTAAAAACTTTTTCATTTTTTTAAACCTATATAAAGTTAGAATTTTGTAATTTTATGTGAATGCGAGACAGTATTGCTATGTTGCTTAGAAAAATAAAATAATTTTTGAATTTAGCAAAAACTCACGTAATAAATTTTTAATCCTTTTCTACATTACGGTATATTATTTTGACTTAATTTTTAATACAGAAAATATTATATAAATTATAATTAATATTAAATATAATTAATAAGTTAGGAATCATGATCGTTTAATTAGGGCTGGGATAGCCTGGTTGATAGGGCACTGGACCCATGTCCTTCCTTTTCTTTTGCATTGGATTCAAAATTCAAGACTTCGGAGTTAAACATTAGTAGTCGTAAACCCAAAAACTGGGCCGGCTGTTCAGTGACATTAATAAAATAAGAAAAATAAAAAATATTTTTAATTAATAATCTACTATAATATTCAGAAAGAACCAATATCAAGGAACCAATATCATTTTGTTTTACCAGTCTGATTTCAAGTGATATTCTTATATAGTTTATATTACTTGTTTATATAATTTTAGAAAATAAAAAGAATCCCGCGTCTATTGTTAGAAAAAACATTCAAAATAATAATAAATAAATTAGCAATAATAAATTAACAGTAATAATAAATTATGTGGGGAGAGTTGTTATCGACAATGTCAACTTTCATCTAGGAAAAGGTACCCCAACATAGAATTGGTTAAACGTGTCTTAAATACTAGTGAATTGGCATTGTATTTTTGTAGTGCCAGACGCACTACACTGAAACTGAAGAAGTACAAAATGAGGACAGTAAAGAGGAACAATAATGAGTTATGAATATTTGCGATTTTTGAAACGAGAAAGCTTCGGAAAAGGATCAGTAAATTACAAATGCTGAGAATTAGTACTAACCAAAATTTTTATACATTTTAAATAAATAAATGTGTTTATCCATCTTTCTTAAAATCATAAACATATTTGCTGTAAGTTCACAATTTTTTGTTTACTGATTTTCATGTCCATTACTTCTTTATTACTTATCATAATAAGAACTTTTCTTTTAGTATTTTTATATCCGTCGTTGAACAGCCGACCCAAATTTGGGTTTATGACTACTAATAATAAACTCCGTTGCCTGGCAATTTTGAACCCATTCTGGAAGACAAGGAAACTTCTGGATCAGTACCCCTAGGGGTATGATTTGTTTTGGAAACATGGAGGAGTATGTGACCCAACAGATTTCATATGAATCAGTAAAAATTTACAACACGGGGAGTCTTCAGTTGACGAGGGCGATCTCTTATACATGGGCCCAGTGCCCTAGCAACCAGGCTATCCTGACCCTTGATTAGCAGTTTGAAAGATTGCACACTAAATGGGTTAAATTAGCTTTGAACAAATCAGTAACTTAATTTCATCTGCGCACTATCATTTAAATAGCCAGTACATGAAATTTGAAAATAAATAAATTTGCGTTTTAGCTAGTGTTTTTAAAACAGATTTTTTTCCTTCCAGTATCTCATTAAAGTTAATGAAATAAAAACTAAAAAAGGTGCTGAATTACTGCAACATTTAGTTGAATACTATCATGCTCAAAACAAGTAAGTTATTACTGTGATCTCTCTTTCTTTTTTCATTTTTTTAAACGTTTTCTTTACACATATAGATCTATATTTTGTTCCTCTTTTGATATTTGCTACTATAGAAGTAATGAAATTGAAAATCGAATGATTATAAAATTTCCATTTGTGTTCTAATATCAACAAAGTTTGTGTTACTTTTATCTATATAAATTATGCATATTTCTTTTTCTATCGGTTGGAAGTTGTTTCTTTCTATGATAAATCCATATTATAGGCTGGGGGAAAAATTAGTTTTTTTTTAATTAATTTCAGATTTTTTTTGTACTTAAAAGAGGTATAATGTAGTTTTCAATATTCAGAAATATTTTTCTAAAATATTTTTTGACAGTTAATTTTTTTTAGTTCTTTCACATCCTGAAAAAGAGTAAAATAGGAAAAAAAATCTTTCAAAAACAGATATAATCTGAATATATTAATGTACTAGGGTTGGAGCCACCTGTTCGCTGCCACTCACCAAACCCTGATGAATGCTTAGCAATAATTGCTGCTTTTTGGCATAAACAGTTTTTTCTACGAAAGTTAAAATTATTATCTTAAAATTTATGTACTAAAATCAATAGTAGCTTATCATTATTTATTATATTGCTTGTTGTTATATTGTATCTCTTTATTGTAATTTATTGCCTCTGTTTGCTTACGCTTGTAATCCCAATTTCTATACCAAACATTTCCTTCATGCTTTGTGTAAACAACTTTTTTGTTCCTTAACGGTGGAAGTCAATTTGATAGATGAATCAATGCTGCTGAAAAAACTAAATTCAAGTTTGTACGGTTAAACAGGGTGCATAGCGTTTTTAAAAAGTGCTTAAAAATGCTTATTTTTGATTTACATTTTTTAAATGCCATTAAATGTGCTTTTTTAATTCAGGGTTTGTAAAAAGTGCTTAATTTTCTATATTTTAAAAAGATATTTTTTCTTTGCCGTGTCGATTGTCGCTCTAAATTACAAAAAATGCATGGTTTTCGCAATTTTCTCTGCAATTTTTTATCAGAAACTAGTTATTTTATCATGATTATGTAAAGTTTTTGAAAATGTTTTTAAATTTTATTGATTTTATTTTTATGAATTAAGAACATTAAACGATAGAAAAATATATTACTGCACAGATCCTAACTATGATTTTTTTTTGGAAAGTGATTAAAAATATTTTTTGAGTGCTTAAAATGTGCTTATTTTTTGCTGAAAAATCTGGCTATGCACCCTGTTAAATAAAACAAAGTGACTAAAACTGTGAATAACAACTTATCAGAAGATATTGAGGTAAAAGTTAGCACCTGTTTTAATTTAAACTCATTGACTGGAAATCAATTTAAGTCCTTGTATGTTTCTCAATTTTCTTTAATATAGTAGTAGTCAAAGATGTTTAAAATTGCATTTAAGACTAATTTAAATTTCACTGTCTGAATGCTTCTGCCACTTTTAATATAAAATAAAAATCTCACAGCAGAGTTAGAAGTTATGTTTTTATATATCTTATTGATATCACAGTATTATATATATTGCGGCTTTCAGGAGAAGGAGAACTCCAAACATCAGTCTCTCATTGTGGCAGATACCATAGTTACCAGGAAAAATCAATTCAAATAGGGGTGTGGGGAGAATAGTTTTGTCTTGATTTCGGCATAGGTCAGCAGGAGTAAAACAATCGACACCTTCATTCCTCCATTGCACTTCCATTAGAAATGCGCTTTCACTTGTAACCATAGCAACAGGCAGCACCAGATTTTTGGTCTTGATGAGTTCTCCTCAAAGCCACACAATAAAACACTCCCTCCCCTCACTTAACATTCTTAATGTAATAGGGAAAACATTATTGATAATTTTTTCATAGATATTTTATAACTCGTGACATAATTCATTTAAATTATAAATATTCCGTAAAAATAAATTCTCCCATCATTTTGAAAAGTTATAGTTCCCTTTTGCAGTTATTTTCAAGATGGTTTGAAAACAATAGAACATTTTAATTGCCTGTTATTAGATTTGGATTCTTAATGTATTAGGGGAAACATTATTGCTTATTTTTTCATCGACATTTTATAATGCATAACATGAAAATTCATTTAAATTTTAAACTTTCTGTAAAAATAAATACATTGTTACATCATTTTGAAAATTATACTTTTTCTTTCCTTTTACAGTTATTTTCAAGATGGTTTGAAAACTATAGAACATTTTAATAATTATATTAAAGAATTATCTATAAAATTGCAAAAAATTAAACAAAAGCAAGATGAGGAAAGGAAAAAGCTTGTTGATTTACGTAACACTCTTAGAAATTCTCCTTCCCTTGATTCAAGAGAGGTGAGATAATTTTTTATGTTTGCCTCTAAATAATATATTTTTTAATGAACCAACAATACTTACAAATATTAAAATAAATAATGTTTGAGGCAGAATATATTGTATTTCTTTATTGTTAGCTGTTGCCTCTAGATGACATATATCTTAATGAACCAACAATTATACTCACTGATATTAAAATAAATAATGTTAGATGCAGAATATATTCTATATCTTTATTGTAATTTGTTGCCTCTAAATGACATATATCTTAGTGAACTAACAATAATACTCTCAAATATTAATATAAATACTGTTTTACGCAGTAAACATTGTATCTCTTTATTGTAATTTAACAGATTCCTTTCTTTATGTTTAAATAGTGTTACATATATATTAATGTATGTTTAATTTATTCTTATATATATATTTTTTTGGATAGAAATTTTTTTTATTCTCACATACCTGACAAGTCTCATGTTTTTTTTAACAAAGTCTCTTGTATTTTACGACTATCTCCTGTTTGCCCATATATTCTCAAATTTCTCCGAATTTGTTGAAGAAAATTTTGAAGAAAAAAAAGAATTTTGGTCATAAAATACCTGCTAATTGCAAAAATCTCAACAGGTAGTGCTAGTGCCAGTACTGCAGTATGTTGAGTGCTTATAGTTTAAGTAATTATAAATAATGGTTTAAAAAATCTTCTTTGGATTAAGATTTATACATATTTTTTACTTTGGTAAATGTAAGTGCTTATCTTACTTTCAATTTTGACTTACATGATTAGGCATGATGTATCACAACTTTACTCGTAGCCCAAAAATTGTCGTTAGTAAAGTCTCCGTTATTTTATTCTCCAAAGTTAGCAGGTATGTTTTCATCTCACCTCAATAACAAATGAAATTGTTAAGTGAATTACAATAATTTAGCTTATTACGGGTTCTTAGGACCCAGGACTTCTAAATTTCAGGGGGGGGGGTTAATTTTTTTTTTACTAAAAACGGCTTCCTATTTATAATAATAAAAATCTTCCATTTAAATATAACATATATATTTTATGATTAAGTAAAAAATGTACTTAGTAATGAATTGATTCAGTAATTATTCAACAAAGAATTAAACAAAATCAAGTGATCTTCTTAAATGATAACAGAGCACTCTTTTTTGCTGGAGTCGGTGTAGGTTTTTTTTAAGAGGTACCTATTTTGTGAAAATTTAGACATAATTTGTGGAAATTAAAAATTATATTAAAAATCAACACAAAAATATAGTAAAATAATAAAATATTTAAAAAATTGTCACTACAAATAAAAATCATTTATGACAGGTAAATATCTATAGATATTTTTCCCATTTGTTCAAAAACAATTTTGCTAACATGCTTAAAATTGTATTTTAATTGTAGCTTAAAACTGTATCTTGTCCATAGTTAGATTTCAACTTGAATTATAATAAAAATATACATTTAACAGTTCTAGCAGTAAAAGTTATCTTCATTATGAGAACTGGGTCATAGAGAAAAAAGCTTCTTAGAGAAAAAAAAATGTTTCATATAGAAAAAGGTCTATTAGAACAATATTTCAAATTCCTATTGCCAGAGGGTCAGCCTTGTCATTTCATTTTAAAAGCTTTTGTTTACAGGGCGATATAAACAACAAAATTTTAAGAGTTGGAGAATCTTAGAACTTGCATTTTTAAAAGTATTTTGCGAAACGACCGTTTTTCCTTAAGTTGAATTTGTGAAGGTACCGCTAAATAGTTGTAAATTTGTCCTGGACAGACTCCTATTTTGATATGTACTCATTCATAATTCTGGTTCGATCTTTAATATTTCGCTAAAGGTAGGATAAAACGAGTCTCACTGAATAGATATAGGTTTTTAAAAAAAATTAAATACCAGCTTCAAAATAGCAACAAATAATATATTATTTTCAATAAATTTTAATGTCCCAGATTTTTTACTGCACACATCACTGAAAGTATATACAGGGCATCCGCGCACCTGGAAAGTCATTAATTTTGGTATTTAACAAAAATTTTCATGAAATGGCAGGATTTCAACTATTTTTTTGGGAAAAAAAATCATGGAAAGTCATAGATTTAAGTCGCCGAAAAATCTAATTTTTAAAATGGAATTGCCCCGCCCCCCAATTTCAGGGTGTTTCGAATATCTGAATTTGTAACAAAGTCCCCATTCACAGTCATGTTTTATTAAAATATGTAATGTTTTTATCATGTGCTTTAAAAATTATGGTGTTCTTTCAAAAAGTAAAGGAAAGCGTCATTTCTAGAGCCAATTATCCTATGTGATTTCAGAAATTTTACTGTTTTTTTATTTTTTATTTTATCATTTTAAAATTCTAGCTGAAGCAAGCCAGTCATTGCCGAATTTTTATTTATTTATTCAGAAATAAGAACAGAAAAATCGGGAGTATTTCTATCTTTTTTGATGAAAAATGAAAGTATCTTTAGAATATAATTCTACAGAAAAAAAGAGAAAGAAAGTTATTTGCTTTTGTATTTATTTCAGCTATTTTATTGCTTCAACTCTTTTTTTTACCCTGTTTTTTAAATTTAGAATCTATAAATATGAAGATGCAGAGTATAACAGTTTGGGTTATACCTATCATTTAAATTAATGTTTTTATAATGCGTGTTTAAATTTATTGTTGTGTTTTTGTCGAAGAAAATAGTAACTTCGTTAAGTCATGACAGATTCTTTGAATTAGTCATGAAAAGTTATGACTTTGAAATTCTAAAATGTAGCAAATGCCATGTATATAAATGAGTTTCAAATATTTAATATAATTTCAGAGCTTAGTACTTTATCCATCTGGTTACACACCTCACCAACCATCAGGAAATGAAAATTTTGGTTACACTAAAGTTGGCAATCTTTTTAAAAAGTCTGACGGAAAAGTAAGAAAAGTTTGGCAGAAACGAAGGTGTGAAATTAGAGATGGATTCCTCTATATTTCTCATTCTGATGTAAGGGTTTTTATTCTCTTTAAAGCACTCATTTATTCATTTTAATTATTCTAATGCTTCTTTTCCCTTATTTAGGAAACAAAAGCACCTACAAAACTGAATCTTCTTACAAGTCAAGTCAAAGTAAATAATTTGTTTTATAAAAATCTAATCGTGCTTGTTATCATTATAGTAAGAAGACTGTTTTTAAAAATTTTTTTACAACCTCTGATATGCATACTTGCCAAGTCTCGTGTTTTTTAACGAAGACTCCTGTGTTTTACGACTATCTCCTGTTTACCCATATATTCTCAAATTTCTCCGCATTTGTTAAAAAATTAAAACAAATTAATTTTTTTTAGCAAAAAAAATATTTGCTGATGTTAAAAATTCTTATCTTATTCCTCAACAGTTGTTGCTATTGCCAGTATGTTAAGTGTTACTAGTTTAAGTAATTATAAATAATGATTAAAAAAATCTAAGGGTGCACAACCTTTTTGAGTGCAGGGCCACTTGCACAGCATGTTGACTAACAAACGGCCACACGCATATTTAGTCATGTTAGCTTCAAATATGATAATTTTTATATAAAAATTTGTGTTCTAAGCAACTAAATATTTTTATCAGTAAACTTGATAATATATTTGCAGAAAATTAAATACTTTTAATGATTTGAATTTATTAAAAATTAAAAAAAACGACTACTTTTTTTTAGAAAAACTTTTTCCATTTTTCCCTATAATCAATTTATGAGATATAAATATTGAGAAAAGGATATAAATTCTAAACAAGAAGAAACTTACAGAATGAAAGTGCAAAAAACATATGCATTTTATAGAGCAATATAAATTGAATTAAATATTCTAATGAAAGAAAATTTATAATGTTTAAACGAGAACCAAATTAAAAGAAATGTTCTTATTGTGTTCAGAAGGTTGTGCACCCCAAATGTAAACCTTTCTGTCAAAAGATATAACAAGTTTATTCTTAGGTGTTCACACCAGCTCAATTAGTTCTGTGAGTCTTTGAACATGATAAAAAATTGTTACCTTCCTGGTATTTTTTTTAAAATTTAATTTTGTTTTTATTATTTATGAAAGATATAGTTAAGTAAAAGTTAGGAAGTATATAACAAGTATACTTCGCTTAGTATGAAATTTTATAAAGTAGTATACTAAGTTATAAAGTAAAATTAAAGCAATTTAGAATAATTAACAAGAAATTAAACATAAAAGTATAATGTTCAAAGTATTGTACCTCAAGCTATGACACGTAGATTTCTGAATAGTGTGTAAGACAGTCTGCAAAAAATATTAATTTTTACATTAATTTACAAAACGCATTAATTTCATTGAAACACTTAATTTTATATTTTTAAGTTTTAGTGGATATTATGTATAAAAATATTTCTTTTTTGCAACTCAAATAATAAAATTCCATAAATTATCCTTTAAAATTAAATTTCTTAAACTTTTTCTTTTAATTTAATAACAAATATACCTTCCATGAATCAAATGAAGCATAATTTGACCCTAAATGATTGTTCCTTGATCTTCTAATTTTGATTAAAAATTTTCCCACAGGTTGTGCAAGAAGAAAAAAAGTGTTTTGATCTCATATCATGTAAGCAACTAACAAAATTTAATGTCTACTTTATATATATATATATATATATACATAATTTTCTATAATTAAATATAATTAACCATCTTTAATTATATTTCTTTTCATTCTCAGATAATCGAACCTACCATTTCCAAGCAGAAGACGAGAATGAGATGGAGGTGTAAGTGGCTTTAATTATCAAATGCCGTTTTTTATTATTTTTTATTTTTAGAATTTGGTTTATTTTTTTTTAACCTTTGCAAAATAAAATAAGAACATTCTTCTCTGCCAACTGTACTGGATTTTGCCAGTTTCTTCTGGTCTACTGGTTTAATAAGAATTCTCCCGCTTTTTGAACATTTTAGAAAATTCTCTAAAATTGAGTAAGTTTCCTTAAAAATCCCTATTGAAATCGAATTTTTATGCAGATTATTTGCTGGCTTGAATATTTAAATAAGTGTCTCTAATACATAATAAAGTGAGCCTCATTTATAAAATTCAGTTAACTATCTTTGATGAATATAACGCCTATTACTATTCAAAATCACGAATAAACATAAATTTTAACATCATTCAATGTGAAATCATAACTGGATAATATTGCAGTTTTTTTATTTTGATGACTGTAAAAATCCCTAAAATTCCCTATGTGTAAAATATTTAGTATATTTTGCAACAATTATATTATTTATATTATAACAATTATATAATTATATTATAACAATTGTATAACAATTATATAATTATATTATTTCGTAAAATCTTCTGGTTTTTTTTCCTATCCGTGTTGGCTGCTATGGACATTAGACTGTTTGTTGTTAAACACATAGTGCCATGGGGTCCGCATAGTGGAGAGAGAAGAATAATGATCGCCAGGTTCCAAACTCTTCACCAGTTGCTCCTTAACAATGTGGTGCAAAAAGACTTTACCTAAGGTTGATCTCCTGATCAGGAACTCATACTATACTCGGTGAAGACATCTCATGGGACCGCATGGCTAAGTGATTAACAGGAAACAATGAACAATATCTTATCCTTTCTTTATTTCGTCAGGAATCATATTTCAAATATAATGAGAGTTCAAGAGAACAAGTTCATCAATTAAATTTCCATCGCCTCTACGTGTTGAATCCTCCCTGTGTGCTTCAGAGGGTAAAATATTAAGTTTAAGTAATCAGCATATTTGAGACATCTGCAGTTAAAATTTACAAAATAGATTGTTTAGATTTTGTTGTTTTTATGGAATTGAAAAGAGTAAAATTATATAAATTATTACGAACATGAAGCACACAGGGGAAGAAAAAAATGCTGCTCAAAAAAGAACCTGACACACCCTTGAAGGTTCCACGGGGAATACTGGTCTATCTCCAAAAGATAGCGTCCCCTCCTTAGCGGTTGCGAGAATCTCTAAAGACGAGCTAGGAGTCGAGCCCTAGAAATCCTGCAAAGGCAATGAAGAGGGCGCTCCTGTTGGAGACAGCCCAGTAGGTATTGGGAAAAGTAAACATTATGGTGATCCCATGATCATACCACACATAGTATATTTAAATTAAATTTTAAAATTAATGGTACATGTGCACCTTGCATTACCTCAATTTTTTTTTTATAACCGTCGTTGAACAGCCGACCCATTTCTTTTTTTGGGGGGTTTACAACTACTAATGTTCAACTCCGCAGCTTTGTAATTTTGAACCCAATCCAGAAGACAAGGGAACTCTTGCATCAAGTTTTAAGAGAAATTTACCTTTGTGGAGACATTTTGATGGAACTAACTGACATTTGCATTACATGGACAGGAGAACCACGAAAACCTCCTATGGATAGATTGACAGCAAGGGGACTCTAACCCATGATCCATCTACCACTGAGGATATTTCACGTCAACACTGTGGTTAGTGCAAGCCAGATGCGGAATTCCTATCGAACAGCCATCACAGGGATTCAACCCGGTTCGCCTCGTTGAAAGGCGAACCATCACAACTCGCATTACCTCAATTGAGATAAGTGGGCAAATGGTTTTAGTAATGATTTGACCTCCGCACCATGATTCCCAGCCATGTGAAAATGTTTTTGGCTCTGCAATATAATTGTAAATCAGGTGTTTATTTTATGTATTTAATTTTTGAAAAGCTTAGTGGAAGAATGTGTTAAGCGGCATTTTTGGGAATCGTAACAAACTCGTAAGCCTAGAAAGCAAAATGTTTTTAACATGCTATTCTATACCCCATGGTGCCGTATCGTTTTTAAAAAGTGCTTATTTTCGTTTTTCAAAAGCTCTCAAAGGTGCTTTTTCTGTTGGGTGTTTTTGAAAAGTGCTTTATTTTCGCTTTTCAAAAATTAGAATTTTTTATTTGCATTGTCCATTTTTGCCATATTTTATGCAAAATTGTGGTTTTTGCATTGTTCTATTCAACGTTCTCATAATGAACCACAATTGATTTCAACGTACCATCGGTCAAGCATATGAAAGCAACAATAATTTTACATGTTTGATGAAATACTTGGGAGTCGGCATAGGCATCTATTGAACTCGGTTCAGAGAGATTACTGCGCTCTCATGTGCAACTCTGCTGCAGTTTGCAAGGTAATCAAGATCTTTATTTCAGGCTTCATTTTTCACCCTCTTATATCAAACTGAAAAGTACCTCGATTATTTTATGCTGGCTGATGTAATAAAAAAAATTCTAAATGTAATGAAGTTCTTTGTTAGAAACTGGTTATTTTATCATAATCATGTAAAGTCTTTGAAAATTATTTTGCATATTGTTAATGTATGTAGCGCGTAAAAAGTACTTAAAAGTGCTTATTTTTTGTTGAAAGATTTGGCTACGCATTCTGTATAATGAGTCTCTATCAATCACCCTTTTGATGTGAAAATTAAAATTAGAGCATATTTTTTTTTAGATGGATGTCTGTTCTTGTAAATTGTAAAGAAGGAGCACTCAGGAAAGCATTCGATGATTCTGGTCAGACGGGTGGAACTAAAGTCAATCAAAGTCTAATGGAACTTCAGCAGGGTATTATTCGACAAGTACAAAGATTACCTGGTAACGATCGCTGCTGCGACTGCAACTCTTCTAAAGGTAAATGATAAAAATTATTTCATAGCTGACAACACAACAGGATTTTCTAGTAGACTACTGGATTGTTTAAGTTTCTACTGGTTTAATTGAAATTCTCCTGGATTTTGTACATTTTAGAAAGTTCCCTAAAATTAAATAAGTTTCCTAAAAAAATCCCTTTTGAAATAGAATTTTTTTTACAGATTAGTGCTTGCTAGAATATTTAAATAAGTATTACTAATACGCAATGAAGCAAACCTCATTTATAGAAATCAGTTCAAAACATTTTTTTGTCCAAAAATGTTCAGTTTATTTTTATTCAGAACTCTCTTCTTAAATGAATTAAGAAAATCTTTTAACTATCTTTGATGAATTAATTACCTTTTATTCGAAATTATGAGTATACATAATACATAACATTTCAAGTATGTTTAATGTCAATCATAACTGAAAAATAATGAAATTTTTCTATTTTGATAATTATAAAAATCCCTAAAATTCCCTATGTGTAAAATCTACTAGGTGTTTTCCTATCCATGTTGGCAGCTATGTTATTTATTTTTTGACCAAATAATTATTTTAATTAACTAAAATGGCTTATACCATTCTTTTTAGATCCAACCTGGCTCTCTACCAATTTTGGAATATTGATGTGTATCGAGTGTTCAGGCATTCATCGAGATTTAGGAGTTCACATATCACGTATCCAGTCATTAACATTAGATAATATTGGAACATCTCAGCTTTTAGTATGTAGCAAATTAAAATGAATATTATTATGACAATTATTTAAGTTTTAACTTATTAGAAATTTAATTTATCACATTTATTGAATTTAATAGTAAATCTACGTTATAATTCAACAGATTAACCATTCAATAATTGATAAGTGGTATGTTTCAGACATACTGGATGCAGGGTTAAAAATTAAAATGTGACAGTCAGGCCGAAGTCATTGAACAGAAATGGAACTCACTGAAAATTGGTTTTTGTTTAAACCTAGGGAAAACCTGGAAAATAAAGGGAATTTTGTTTCTTATTTTTGTCTTTTAAAAAATGGTGATCACTTAAAGCATAATCTATGGGATATTTAACGATGATATTCCAACTATAGTAAAATATTTCATTTACTATAGCATTATTTAAGTATGTTCAGCTATTCCTTCTTTTTTCTTTGCAGAAAAAAACGCATTTTCAATTCTCGATTACATTCGAGTGTGAAAAATTACAGCAACTTAAAATACAACGCCTCTCAAATTATCTCGAGTGTGCACAGTTTGGTCTGTACGTGCGCTCGAATTAACTCGAGCGCACAAGTTAAGAGGTTAATGTAAGAAAATATGTAGACCACTATGTCTGAAAATTTCAAACAGGCAGAGAGAAATGACATGATGAACTTGTTTAAATTCATTCCTCCCACAAGTATTATAAAACTTTGAGAACAAATCGGCGTTACATAAGCTCAAATAGAGCTAATGAAAGAAGATATAATTTATATTAAAGATGAATCAATTTAAACAAAGTAATGCTCGTAATATTATGTATCAGTAACGGAACGGATATNTTAAAAAATAATTATACTTTTTTTAAAATCATTAAAAAAGTGAATAATATAGTTAATTTTAATCATGATTTAATAATCTAAGATGGTCTATATATTGTTCAGTAACTAGTATTAATTTTCCATTTTCAATATTTTTCTATTAATTATACCCTTCTAAAGTAATGTATCTTTAAATTTATGCACAAAAATATGAATAAATTTGTTCCGAGTTACACTCCTGAAAAGACTCCCAAAACTCCTGATGTTTTTAATGATATCTCCTGAAATCCTTTTTACAAAGTTACCAGGTCTGTTAATATGATAAAGTTTTTTTCGAAAAAAAAATTATTCAATGACTGAATTTGAATTAATTTGCTGTTATCAAACCTCAAGCAAAAAAAAAATAAAAAAATCAGAACATTTTTATGCCAGATGACTGATATAATATATTAAAAACTGTAAATTGAAAGCGTCATTTTATATGGTTCATATGAAGCATCAGGACTTTTTCTTTACAAGTACTTTAGAAAAGTCTATCATTAATAAAAAAGTAACAGTTGCCAGTAAATTGGTTAAAAATGCTTTGGATGAAATAAGAAAAGTCGAAACCCTCACTTCATTCAAATCAAGTATGAATTTGACGAAGAAACAGAATTTAATGCCAGAAAATGTGTAGACCACTATGTATAATGAATTTAGACCAGCCTTTATTGCTTCCAACAGGCAGAGAGAAAAGACATGATGAACTTATTGAAATTCATTCTTTCCATTAAAAACGAGTATTATAAAACTTTGATGACAAATAGGCATGACGGAAGCTCAAATACAGCTGATATCATTTATATTGATGATGAATCAATTTTATCAATTAGTCCATTTTTATACTTAAACTAAATAATGCTCATAATAATATGTATCAGGAATGGAAAAGATATTATTCATTTTTCCTAAAATCTTTAATAAAGCATATATTAATATAATGAAGTTTTTTCGCAATAAGGATTATTTGATGACTGAATCATGGTGCATAGCATTTTTAAAAAGAGCTTAAAGGTACTTATTTTTGTTTTTTTAAAAGCTCTTTTTAAAAGTAGTTTTCTTATTGGGTGTTTTTAGAAAGTGCTTAATTTCCCCTTTTCGAAAATGAGATTTTTTTTTATTTACCATGCCAATTTTCGCCATGTATTACACAAAAGCGTGGTTTTCACATTGTTCTATTCAACATTTTCATAATTTACTCAAACACGATGCATTTTGGTGTACTGTCAGTCTGTAGCATATGAAACCGCCAATCATTTTTCATGTTTGATTAAATACTTGTGGGTCCGCATATGTGTATACTGAGCTGGGTTCAGTGAGATTCTTGCACTCTCATGTACAACTCTGCTGCATTTTGCAAAATATTCTCAAATTCGAGCTTCATTTTCCACCCTCTGATATCGAACCGAAAAATCTCTCAATCATTTTATAATGGCTAATATAATAAAAAAAAAGAGTTCTTTGTCAAAAACTATTATCATGTTATTTTATCTTGATCATGTAAAGTTTTTGAAAATTATTTTGCATTTTTTTAATGTATGTAGTACTTAAAAATATATTTTGAGTGCTTAAAAAGTACTTAAAAGGTGCTTATTTTTTGCTGAAAGATTCGGCGACACGCCATGAAAATTTGAATTAATAATTTTCTTTCACTTGCCAAAGCGATTAGCTCCCTTGATCGCAAAAATTTTTTTTTTAAATAATAATAGTAATTACTCTAAAGATATTATATCTGATGTTAGATAAAAGATTAATACAGTCTAAATCATTATTTTTGAATTTTTACTTCAGGTGGAATTTTAAAAAACAATATATACTGTTTAATCATTTTTCTCCACTCAACTTCTTATTTAATGAAGTTAATTGATTCCGCAAGTGAATAATTCATTTATAGGCTCCCATACTTCAAATTTTAGCAGTTTAAAATATATATTGTGTGCTTAAGTAATTTAGTAATTATTTTTTATCTATTTTCTTTATCTAGCTTGCCCGAGTGATGAGTAATGCTGGTTTCAATGATGTCGTTGAAGCAACCCTTAGTCAATCCCGAAAACCTACGCCTCTAAGTTCCATGTTAGTAAATCTTTTTTCTCTTTTTTTAATGTTTTTCTTATATGCTTGTGTTATGTAATGAGGATGATTTTAACATTTATTTGAGGTTATGCACCATTTTTTCGCAAAAACGTTACATCCTGTAACAAATCTGAAAAATAACTTTTGAACTTATGATAATGAGTTTTTAAATTAATGATGAAATGATGAAAAAAATCATTATTAAATTATAAGAAATGACAGACCATGTGTATTTTCAATTATTTATTTACAGACCCAAACAAGAAATAAGAAAAGATAGATTATGGGGGGGGGGAATTCCCGCTCGAGAATCTTAACCATTCTCTTCAACATCTAAGCATCTTCTCCTATACAAAATATGTCATGATTGCACAGACATGCTGCATGCCATTGCTATGTGAAACATTCAATATTTTTATATGTAATCACAGATGACTGAAAGTTTTACAAAATACAATTTTTTACAATTTGTAAACTAGCAAAGTAACATAATGCAAATATTTTAATTGTTTAGTATAAAAAGTAAGCAATTAGCATTGCAAGAAAAAATTATATAAAGATAAATTTACCTAATAACTTCTTGAATAAAAAGTTAAGAATTTTGTTTCATTCTTCTAAAGGCAGTACACATAATTTGGATATTGGTCGTTTAAATATGCCAGTTTTTGTTCTGACTTCTACAACACGAATATTATTATCTTTACCAGGATAAGTTTGACCTAAAATCTATTTATAAATGGGTAAATGTTCCTCCCTTAAGATAACCATTTTCCCAATATTTACATTGTGCTTAGAAAACTTCCACCTAGTGGAAGTTTTCTAAGCACGTTATTGCAAGGTATTGAGTGGGTTATTGCAAGGTACTTAAATAAGATGTATGCCAATTTTTCCAAATCAACTGCAATAATTTTGTTGTTTTCTGTCATAAATTTAATCTGCTTTCAGAGATATTTATTACACTAGATTCTACGATTGAAGTAAGAGATCTTTCTACAAAAAAATGTCCCGGTGTTAAAATGTTTAAATCCTGTATATCAGAAGAGATAGGAGTCAAGGGACATGAGTTGAGCATTGCTTCAACCTGATTCTTCAAAATTCTTCATGGGTAAAATTAGAGTTGATGGATTTCACTCCCGGTTTCTTCACTCCACCAAAATTTGGGGCTCTAGGAGGAATGATTTTCCACTCATTGTTCTCTTCCAAAAAAAATTTTGTAAAAGTTTCTTGTTAAAGCATTCTGTTACGAAATTCTTGTAGTTCTTTATTTGCGCCAACGAAATTGGTCGCATCATCAGAAAAGATTTCCCTTGCCTTGCTATAAAGCGCTTAATTGTTGCAATCATTGACTCTGAAGTAAGATGCGATACAATTTCTAAATGTATCGCTTTAGTTACTAGACAAACAAATGTACAAACATAAATTTTAGCTTGGGGGCCCTTTCTTTGGTTTTTATTTTTAATGAAAAAGGGGCCGCATAGATCCATCTCAACAGAATTAAATGTGAAATCAGTTATAACAGCTTCAAAGTCATACATGCAAACTGTATTTCAAAATCTACCCTTATCACCCTGTATTTAACAGTGACTTTTGTTTTAATTGTTTGATTTATATTCAGTAGATTGATTATAAGTAGATTGATCCCAGTAGAACACGGAAGTCAAGCATGACTGGCAGCGGTCAGTAAGCAGGTGGGGTGACCTCTTTGATCAGCCTGCTTTGGTGTGCGGTATCGGTCCTCGTTAAACTGTTCTACCGTAAAGTGCTCGACTTGGCGTGCAGGTCGTCGGGCTACCAAAGAAGGGTAGCCATCCCCTCTGCAGAGGATTAAAATTTCGATGGCATGTCTTCGAATCATCCTCGGGGATGTTTCCCAGACTGTTGCCAATAGCCCATTGTGCAGCTGTAGGGCAACGTAAATAAAATACCTACCTTAACTTATATTCATGCTATTATTGTGTTTGTTTTTTTTAAAGTTAGTAGTTAATTTTACTCATTGTATATTTTTGTATGTTACTAGATTGATCTAATTTTTCATGTATTATTGTATAATTCAGGGAAGAGAGGTACGAATTCATTCGTAGTAAATATGTGGACAGAAAATTTGCCATCCGGACGTGCTCAGACGAGAATGACTTGAAGAATGATCTAGAATGTGCTGTAACTTCCAAGCATTTATATCAGTTGCTTCAAGCATTTGTGGAAGGTGTAGATTTAACCTGTGTTTTACCTAATAGTGTAAGTTTTTTTAAATTTTGTTTTGCCATATCCTGACATGAAACTATTTATCCAATCAAAGAATGAAACTCATTTAGCACTTAACATACCATAACCGGTCAAATGACCGTTTGAGAACTTTTGCATCGAAAATGTGCTTATCATCTAATCGTTTTCGCACATTAGACTGCATGCCTTTTTCTAACAATTATACACAGTTAATATTCTATTATAATTTTTTTTTTATTTCTTGTGTATTTTGTTTGTTTTGAATAATATTTGTCGTATATCTATTTCTACCACAACCCGTCATTTGATTGAGAGAACAATTTATTGCTTTATAAGGTTATTGGATCAGAAATTGCAATGTAATGCATGTTCAACGTATTGCTTTTGATTAGTTGTGCATTTCTGCCAGGACTGTTAGCGTAGTTAGTTCAATCAGAATAACTGTGAATTCAAATTTCAAGAAAGTACCTAAAAATTTAGATTGGCATTTTTGTGTCAGAAAAAGTGACAAAAACTAGATGTTTTGGTAAGTAGCTTCTATTTTATTTTGATAGCTTTACTTCATTTCTAACTAGCTGTTAGTTTTCACCCAGAAAAATGTCCAAACAATCAAGACAGCACAAGTTTTTAGAAGAAATAATAATTATAATACTTATATTTATAAGAATTATAGAAACAATAATAATTAGAAAAAATATGTTTGCGGAAAATGTGCAATGGAGTATATGTAAAAAATGCATTGAGCATTGAATTAAAAATTCTTATTGTTTGTGTTTGTAATACATAAAAAATTGGAAATATACAATTTTGTTTAATTTTAATAAAATTTTTTTTAGTTTGTTTCCTTCCTAACATCCATATTTCATACATTCAATCAAGAAACATGAAGTCCGGTCATTTGACCGGCTATGGTAAAAATAGGTATATATTAAGTGCTGGTATGTTTAGTGTTAAGCAAATTAAGAAAATAACATTTAAAATAATAATAATAAGTCAAAATGGAAAAGCTCTAAAAGCAGCTAAAACCAAATTTGCTTTATTTAAACAATTTAGAAATTCTTTTTTTTGTTTGCTTGATTTGTGTTTCTAACTTTCTAAAATGGAACTATTGATGTCACTGCTTTTTTTTCGTAGTTTGAAGTGTAATGTGCTCCTTTTTTTAGAAGAGTAGTGTTGTGATTAGGGCAATAAAAAAAGCCTACCAGTTTGTGCAATTTTTTGCAACTTTTTTTTAAAAATTAGCTTATTAAAGAAATAAGATTCAAATGCAACTAATTTTTCTGGATCTGTTTGATTCAAAAATCTTATGTGAATCCATTAGAGTGTGCAGTGAGGATGCCTACCCTGTGCTATTTTCATCGTCATTATTTTCCTGTAAAGTTAGCTTAAGCTTTAAACACTTAATAAAACCACTAATATTTTATAATATTCTGGCATTTTTTGAAAATATTTGTTGTCGTAAAGGGCATAAAAATTTGAAAGTTGAAAAAAAAATCTTGTTTAAAATCAATTAACTGATATNTTGAAAAAAAAAATCTTGTTGAAAATCAATTTACTAATATATTATTCTAAACAATTTTATTAATTTTTCTTTTAATAATATTTTTTTTTTTTTAAGTTTTGAACACAAGTGCAAATTGAATCCTGCATCAAAATTTGTTTTCTAAAAGTAGTTAAGTAGTGGCTGCATTTCAAAAGTAGGTGTAATTAACTATTAAAAAATTCTGACAACAGAGTGGGTTTTCAGTTCAACCAGATGAAAGCTGTTTCATTGTTGCTGCATGACACATATAGACAGGGTGCATAGCATTTTTAAAAAGTGCTTAAAGGTGCTTATTTTCGTTTTTTAAAGGCCCTTAAAGGTGCTTTTTTCCATGGTGGTTTTTAAAAAGTGCTTAATTCTTTTTCCAAAATGTGATATTTTTCTTTACCATGTTGATTTTCGCCTCAAATTATGCAAAAAGATATTGTCCTATTCACCGTTTTCACAATTAATTCATCCCCAATCTATTTCGGCTGACCGCCGGTCTGTAGTGTATAAAAACACCATTTGTTTTACATGTTTAATGAAATACTCGCAGATCCGCACCAGCGTATACTGCACTGGATTCAGTGGTAAGAATTTTTTACTCTTGCGTGCAACCCTGCTGCATTTTGCAAGAGATTCTCAATTTCGGACTTCATTTTCCGCCCTCTGTAATAGAGTCGAAAAATCTCTTGAATTTTGCTGATTACTGGGACCAACTAAACATTGTCAATTTTTTTTTCTCTATTAGCGATAGAAAATTTCATTTCTCTTGTTAATTTCATCCTTTGTGACGCGCCATCGTCTTCGTCACTGTAAATAAAACCGGATAAAGCCATCAATTGTCAAAAACTTGACAAACCTGTCTAATTATGATATTTTTCAAAGTGCTTAAAAATATTTTTTGAGTGCTTGAAAAGTGCTTAAAAGGTACTTATTTTTTGTTGAAAAATTTGGCTGCAGAAGACAAAATAATGATTTATTTGAAGAAAAGAAAAGTTTAAAATTTTAAGACTATCAAGAAAAAATTTGAAATATAATTTATTATTAAAGATATTATTTTATGATAAATGTAGGAGGGCTATTTTTTTCCAAGGTCCGATAGGTCGCTAAATCACAGTCAGAATCAAGAAATTTTTATATGGCGCAATGGGATACAACATTAAGCTACTTTTCAATGTAATCGCCATTCCGATTCATACGTTTGTCATAGTGTGGTACCAATTTTCCAATACATTCATCACAGAAAACAGCCACATGTGTTAACTCTGGCTTCCTTCCCTGTTTGCCTGCATCGTAAGCATTTGCNTTTTTCCGAAATGTGATATTTTTCTTTACCATGTTGATTTTCGCCTCAAATTATGCAAAAAGATATTGTCCTATTCACTGTTTTCACAATTAATTCATCCCCAATCTATTTCGGCCTACCGCCGGTCTGTAGTGTATGAAAACACCATTTGTTTTACATGTTTAATGAAATACTCGCGGATCCGCACCTGTGTATACTGAACTGGATTCAGTGGAGTGCTTAAAAATATTTTTTGAGTGCTTGAAAAGTGCTTAAAAGGTACTTATTTTTATAAAAATTATATTTATAAAAATATGGCTGCAGAAGACAAAATCATGATTTATTTGAAGAAAAAAAAAATTTAAAATTTAAGACTATCAAAAAAAAATTTGAAATTTTATTTATTATTAAAGATATTATTTTATGATAAATGTAGGAGGTCTTTTTTTTTCCCAAGGTCTGATGGGTCTCTAAATGAAAATCACAGTCAGAATCAAGAAAATTTTATATGGAGCAATGGAATACAACATTAAGCTACTTTTCAATGTAATCGCCATTCCGATTCATACGTTTGTCATAGTGTGGTACCAATTTTCCAATACATTCATCACAGAAACCAGCCACATGTGTTAACACTGGCTTCCTTCCCTGTTTGCCTGCATCGTAAACATTTGCGCATTCATCAACAAAGTTCAAGCACCATTTCTGCACTTTGCTGTCACTCGTAAACGTTTCTCTTAACGCTTTACTCATTCATCTATAAATTTCAGCTGCGCTGCTTCCTTCAGCATTCAAAAGTAGAATGACTGGACGCAATTCACATTTGGCAGGAGGCAAAATTTTTTTAAACTTGTTTGTGCTTCTTACGTACTTAGAAATGACAAATGCGAATTGACACATTACCCCGGGCCAACCTAGCGAATTTTTCCCAAAGCTTTCTTTTAGCGACCCATCGGACCTCGAAAGCGTAATAACACTCGTTCTTTATAGCTGTTGAAATAAATTAAACTGTTGCAATTTTTGATTTCTTTGTTTGTGTTTCATGTGTGAAAATATCAAAATCTTTATGCTTTTATAATTCAAATATATGGATTTCAATAATTGTCGTTCATTAATGTTCCTTTTTCTAAGCAGGCAATAGGAGAGACAAGTTTACAAGTTGCTGTTTCACAAGAGGATGGTTCTTCTTTACACATTGTAGATTTTTTAGTCCAGAATAGGTATGTAAACTCCTACAGCTTCTTGCATGTTCTTGTTAAAATCAGAGTTCACATTACCAAAGTCAGGGTTCATATGCACGGAAATATTGGGAAAACCGGGAATTGTCAGAGAAAGCAAGATTTGATTTAAAAAAATCGAATGCAGGGTTACCACTGGCGACTATTTTCTACTATTTTTGTAATGAGGCGACTATGGCAACTTGTTTTGCCTGAAAATGCTAATAAAAAAAGTAACTATTTTCAGGAAAAGGAGACTTTTCTGTACTCCTAGCAATGTTTTTTTTTTTTTTTTAAAGCATAAATTGGGTTGAAAACCTGCGGCCTGCGGAAACTTCTGAACACAATAAATCTTTTTTTTCTTAAAAAAAATGAAAAAATTTTGAATCACAAATTTGAGTCATTACTCTTTAATTTGCACAGATTCCACTGTAAATCCATTTTGTTTCTCGATCACCTTTTCAATGGTAGTTGCTATGAATTTCTGCTAGATTTTAGAAAACATAATTTTCATTTTTAATATGATATTACAATATGTGAATTTTGAATTTGAGTAATCACTTTTCACAATATATAAATTTATATATTTGCTAAATCAATTATTGATTGAAAGGAAAACTCTTTACAAAGAGTGTGTTTCTTTTAATGAAAAAGTATTTTTTTGAATGAATTCTAGCAATTAAAAGTATTTAATTTTCTTCAAATATGCTAACTTTTTAATCTAAAAATTTAGTCCTAGAATACTTACATTTATATAAAAATTATCATATTTGCCACCCACTTTCTAAATGGATTATGGTATATGACAATTAAGTCATTAAATAATATTTTTGTTCTTATTTAGGCAACTATTTTGATGATTTAGGCTACTGAAAGCAACTACTTTGTTAATTTTTTTCTATGGCAACACTGCAAATGGGAAATGTAATTTTATCCCAAAACTGGGATTTGTCGGGGGAGTTTGACACCCTATCAAATTGCAAGATTTCACTCTTTCGTTTTTAATACCATAATTTTCATTTTTGCAGAAGAGTATTAAAAAATATTCAGATTTTTAGCCAAAAAGACAGGTATTTACTGCATCATCAAGATTCTTTTGTTATTCTTGCTCTTTTCTGGAGAATGCGAATCCACAATTGGATATCTGATTTGGAATGTGAAATTTCTGTCTTGGAAGTATTGGAGTACATTTTTATGATTTTTAAACAAAATTATTTTAAAAAACTTTTTTAAAATTCTTTTTATTGATCAGAACTGGTGTTATTAGTTTCAAAATTACCGTCCTACAAAGTTGAACACTAGTATTCGTAAACCCAAAATTGGGTTGGCTGTCCAATAACGGTTTTAAAATATAGTTTAAGTAATTATAAATAATGGTTTAAAAATCTTCTTTAGATTGAAATTTATATGCATATTTTTCCCTTCGCTAGATGTAAGTGCTTATATTATTTCCAATTTTTAGTTTCTCTTTTTGACTAACATGATGTATGAAAACTAATCAGAGCCTAAAAAATGTCGCTAGTAAAACAGAGTGTGTAGCATGTTTAAAAAGTGCTTAAAGGTGCTTATTTTTGATTAACTTTATTAAAAATCCTTAAAGGTGCTTTTTTATATTCAGGATTTCTAAAAAGTTCTTAATTTTCTATCTTTTAAAAGGTGACTTTTTCTTTGCTTATCGATTGTCGTTCTAAATTACAAAAAATGCATGATGATGCAATTTTCTCTGCAATATTTATCAGAAACTAATTCTTCTACCATGCTTATGTAAATTTTTTGAAAGCATTTTTTGAATTTTATTGATTTTATGTTTATAAATGAAGAACTTTAAACAATAGAAGAAAAAAAATTTTTTAATACTGCACAGATCCTAATTGTGATTTTTTTTTTGGAAATATTATTTGAGTGCTTAAAAGGAGCTTATTTTTTGTTGAAAAATCTGACTACCCAGCCTGTAAAATCTCTATTTTATTTCTCCAATGTTGGCAGGTATGTATTTGTCATTTCAAGACTTTCTTTTTTCTTAGCTCAAGTCTCGACAAGCAGACCGAGGACGGAAGTACAGCTCTTCACTTGTGTGCTCAACGAAACCGGTCAGAATGCATGAAACTTCTACTGCGAAGCGGTGCTAACCCACAAATCGAGAACCGGGAAGGAAAGACTCCCCTCGACATTGCCAAAGAGAAAGAGTTTCATACCTGCAGGGAACTAGTATGTCTTAATTTTCTCATGCTGAGATAGATTTCAACACAAACCATGCAGGCCTAATGCAATCATAATTTTTTTAGCAGGAACATGCCATTCAGAACAAAAGACACTGCTTGAGAATGTATTTTGTTTTTATTTTCTCATACTGAGATAGCCTTTAACAAACACCATGCATTTTTAACACAATTATAATTTTTTTAGCTGGAACATGCCATTCAGAACAAAACAAAAAAAACACTGTTTGAGAATGTATTTTATTTTTATTTTCTCATGCTGAGATAGCTTTAAACAAAAAGTCTTAACACAGTTATAAAATTGTTTTAGCTGGAACATGCCATTCAGAACAAAAAAACACTGTTTGAGAATGTAAGCATTGACTGGGGCCTTTCCCAAGAAGATGGCTCGACAGACTTCAGTGATGAAGATGGTGATGAAAAGGTATCTTCTTAATATATACTTTAAATTTGATATTTTCATCTTGTATAACTTAAAGAATAGTTTAAAATCTCATTGCAATGGCAGTATCTAAAATAAATAACTGTTAAAAGAAATATTGATATTTTAGTCTGAAATGTCTGTTGTCTGCTTTAGGGTGGTCAAATAACTCCTGAGCACATGAACCGCTCTCGACCATCCAGCGTAGTGGGTAATGAGTCTCCCACTAGCAGGTCTAGCACTATTAGTGAAACAATAAAGCAAAGTCCGCTAGTAACACCACGCTCAATGCCTCCTCCACCTCCACCTCAAAATAAAAAACCTTTCAGTAAGTTGCTTTTAATTCTTTATTTTATTTATAATTTGATAAAAATGGGCTACAAAAGAATTGTGTTTTAACTCTGTGTTATTATAAGATTTTGTAGCATTCTCACATTAAGTAAAGAAAATTTGAATCTGGAAATCAACCTACTTAAATTTTAGAAAGAACTAAAACAGTTAAAATTTTCCTCTTAAGTATTAAATTCCGTTCAAAAAATCATAAATTTAAATTCATTTTATTTTGTGTCATAATAGGACCTCAGTCAAATTACCTTTTTTGTGCTCTTTTAATTAATGCGCTTTTATTGTCTATTTGTATTAACAATGCAGTTGTTTTGAATTTGTATTTCTGCTATGCATAATTTGTTTTACAAACCATTTCAATTCTCAATTTAGATATATATAAATTGAAATGATTGCCTTGTGAACAAATCTCGTTATTTTAAATTTTGTTAATCGTGTTTGCCCTCTTTCCCTAAAGAGTAGTTACAATTCGTGTAAGGAATAATAAACATATACAGTCCGACCACTATTTAACGAAGTCGCTAAATCCCGATAATGAATTCGTTATATGGAAAATTCATTTTTTTTCGTGTATTTGAAAATAATAATTTTGAAATACTTAAATAACTCAAAGCAGGTTTTAAAATCATGAACACTAGACATATTTAAAATAGCGTTTGATACACCTTTTTCTTGTGAACTAGTATCTACTATTTATTTTATAAATCTTAACTGTATAAGAAATCTGCATGGAAAGCAAGAATGGAGCAAAGCATTATCCAGTACATGCTACATACATTTTCAACGAAAAAAAGCTAGATTTATGAATAAAATTATAGTGGCATTTATTTTGAAAGTAATTATAAAAATATATTACCACATGCATTCTTAAGTTTAATTACTACTGATAAAATCCGTTTATTTTGTCTGAGTTTTTCGTTTGAAATAGAAACAAAAAGGGAAAGGTATTATACTGCTTTCTCTAAAAGTTAAGTGGCTTCGTAAATCAATTCAAGGGCATTTCCCCCTAAAAATGCGTTAACAAGTTTGAAATGTTCTAAAATATTTTGGGAAATAGGGAAAGTGAATCTCAAAGAAAAGTTCGTTGAATAGAAAATTTACTTTGCTATTTGGAAGTTATTTTATAAAGAAATTTCCAAAATGTTCTTGGTTCCTTGAAAAACATCACAAAATGGAAGTTCGTTAAATAGAAGTCCGACTGTATTAGCAAACCTCATACCTTGCTCACATTCATTATTAGATTATAATAATCACCATTACTATTATTAGAAAATTAGTTTAATTCATTAAAAACAAGTAAGAAGGTTTTTAAAAAAATCTATTAATGAATCAAAAATATTCGATCACTGAATACTTATATTCAGTAACCCAATATTCTGTTTTTGGACTACATCACTATTCAGTGCATCTCCATTATGATGAGAAATGATTTCAATTCGGCTTTAAGACACTATAATGTGCTTAAATGACCTTTAAATGTAATACTCCAATTTGCTAAACTAAATGAATTTATACTATTAACAATAGCTATTAAAATATATGATCATGGTATATTTATTCAATTGCAATTGACAGGTTTCAAGTGCTCTTTTTAGCAATTCTGTCCTACTCAAAGCATGCTTTCAATGTATGTTAACTGCATTTAAATTTATATGCAAAGATCAAATTTTTTCTTGATTAAATTTTCTTCTATTAATGGGCAGTTAAATTACAATAACTATAACAATTATTTTGCCTTTAAGGTTAAACTTATGAATCTAGTTGCATGAACTTCTACTTGAAATCGGCCTACTGAGCAATTCTGTCCTATTCAAAGCATGCTATCAATGTATGTTAAATGCATTCAAATTTATATGCAAAGATCAAATATTTTATTGATTAAATTTTCTTCTATTAATGGGTAGTTAAATGACAATAACTACAACAATTGTTTTGCCTTTAAAGTTAAACTTATGAATCTAGTTGCAAGAACTTCTACTTGAAATCAGCCCACTGAAAGAAATATATGTTTGTTTTTTCCTTTTTTCTAGTATGACTCCACAGAAAATACGTTATTTTCAGTTAATCTTAATCTTCACTTTTATTGGGCATCTTAATATTTGTTAAATTATTTTTGAAATGATGCACATTTTTAAAAAAAAAAAATCTTTTCTTACTCAAAATGCTAAAATAACTAAGCATTTTAAAATCGATTTTTTGTTGTAATTGAACATTTAGAAATTGAACTTGAACAAGCACTGCTGAATTGTTTCGTCATTTGACTTGTATAGTTTATTTATTTTTTATTATTATTTATATTTCCCCAGATAACAGTAAGCTTTGCATTGTTGCTTTCGTTAAAACATTTGTATCTATGACGTTTAAGGAAAAAACTGTTTTCCTGACCCCTTGGCAGAATCGCGGCGACATTGTCACAGAACTTTACTAAGTTCTTGCGGAAAGGTTTTTCTTTTGGAAGTAAAGAATTTTGGTTTGCTTTTCTACAGAAATTTACATGTAAAATTTGAATCGCAAATTTAAATGATCACTTTTTGTTGTGCTCCATTTATGCCGATATCATAAATCCATTTTTATAGTATTTTCGGCAGTTATTGACATTGATTTTCACTTGGCTTTTAGATTTTACATGTAAAATTTTAATCTCGAGTTTAAATAAAAACTTTTTAAAGTGCTCAATATATGCCGATATCATAAATCCATTTTTATAGTATTTTCGGCAGTTATCGACATTGATTTTCACTCGACTTTTAGATATCCGGATATATTTCAGGAGATACGGGAAATTCTAATTGCGCATTTGATCATTTACTTTGTTAAGGCAATGGTTCTAGCGATTTTTTTTTGTTGCATTTATTGCTTTTGATTTCCGCATAGTTTTTAAAACCCGATATTTTTTATACGATGTTATTTATTACAACAATCAAAACAAAACATTGCATTTGAGTAACCTCTTTCTGAAGAGTCCGATTCGGGTGATTTTGTCGTCAGATCTGTTTTTTGGTAATTACTACTGCAGATTTTACGATATTTAATTACTTTTTTAATGAGATGATGATTTGCAGAATGCGGTAAAGGAAATAATTATTGCGTCCCCCTCCCACTAGAATGAGAGAATATCCGCCCGTAGTATTAAAACCAAAAGAAAAAAAACATTAATTATTGAATTTAAAAAAATTATTTTGTTTTTGTAGACAAGGCATTTTCGTTTCCTTAAATGAGTAACATGCATCTTTGTTATTATTAAAAGTATATTGCAGAAAGCACGAAAAAATTCTGTCACAGGGTTTCCCGAACGAAGAAAGGATAATTTAACAGCAATTTTTATAATAAATAAAGAAAATAGAATGATATTTTTGAATTTGATGTTTTGTGTGTTGTGAATGTTAAAAAGAGGTTGCTTGCTGAACCTAACAAAGCTATTTTGCTTTTGCTAACAAATCCTTTGCTTCAGTCCCAGGTTTGAGTTCGCATGGTAGTATGAAGAAGCGTGCGGCGCCCCCGCCTCCATCCCAAATAGACAGTCCTGCCACACCCTGCCATTCCCGTACTCCTTCTGATCCAGGACTTTCCCAATCCCCTACCGGGATCATACATCGGAGAAACCATTCCACTGACCTTGTGTCCTTGCGCCCTCATTCCATCAACTATTCCAGTTCCTCTTCCTCCGTAGACAACAGTAGCATCAATCACTGGTTCCAGACGAATTCTCCTGGTAGGACAGTTGCCTCTATAGCTGCCTTCTCTCTGCACCTGCCTTTAACACAATGCATGCATGCTTTGCATCTCTATTAATTTGCATTTTATTTCAGCCTCTCATTCCTACATTTTAGGTCATATTCTTATTGTTGCATTGTGTGTGAAATTTTTTTTATATTATCTCAGAAATTTTGGAAACGTGCATTTTCATTTTATACAAAAAGGGAGAGAATAATTTGTTCTCATTCATACATTTTAGGTCATGTTCTTATTCTTGCACTGTGTGTGAAAATTTTTTAGATTATCTCAGAAGTTTTGGAAATGGGCATTTTAATTTCAACAGACGTTCTGAATATTTCTCATTTATATACAGTCAAACCCCGCTATAGTGAATGTGGTTTAGAGTGAACGAAATGTTCGCTCCCTTGCCTTGCTACACATGTATAGTGTTATTTTTTGTGGATATAGTGAACCAATAAAAAAGAGAGGAAGTTGCATATTATGAACTTTTTTCTGTCTTCAACTGATTTATTTTCTTCATTTTCTAAATAATAATTTTGAAATTTCTACTTCAAAACTAATACATATACTGATTTTTAAAACCATGTATAGCATGGAATGTAGTAATAAGCATTTTTTCTTGTTTGCTTCATTATTGAATAGCATTGTTGAATTGGTTCAGCATTAAAAAAAGCCTCAATCTTCCAGTATATGGACAAATGCTTCAAGTCAAAGCAGATGAATTTTCTGAGCGATTTGGTGAGACTACTTTTATGCGCTCGAATGCCTGGGTAGAGTGCTTTGAAAAGCAGAATAATATAAATTCAGAAAAAATTATTTGATAGTCGGGAAATGTTTCCATATCTGATGTGGATTACTCATCAGCTAAAGATTACTAATTATTTTTTGTACGCAAGACGAAGAGTAATAAAAAATATAAGTTAACACATTTTTGTTGCTATGTATCACTACTTTTGTTTTTCATTTTATTGGCCATTTATTTAAATAATATGTAATAAAAAGTGGGAGTTTGAAACCATAAATTAAAAATGTTTTTGGAACGGATATAGTGAAGTCCCGTTTATAGTGAACCGAAATTTCCGTCCCTTGGCGGGGTTTTACTGTATATATTTTACAGAAATTTTTATCAAAAAAAAATTTTTTTGTAACGACAAAGTAGCAGCAATAGTTATGAAACTGTATGCATATTTTTAAGTGTTAACTTTTGTTTGAATTTAAAACCCTTGGTAAAAGTTAATCAATAATGGTTTTTAGCATTATAACTTGATTAAACTTTGAAATGCAATATTGATTATAAAAATTGTTAGAAGAAATAACCAATGTTTAAGTTGGTTTATTCCACTTATAAAAATAATGGCTCAAATATCTCTCATTTGCGTATATTATACAATGTGCTTTCACAAATTAATTTTTAGAGCTACAATGCGCATAACAAAGCAACAATATTATTTCCCAATCTCAATTACTTTTCTAAATTTAATGACTGATACTAATCTATTAAAGTCTATACACTTTAATGTTGACGAATACATTTTAAGATATGATTTTGTATTAACAATAAATCATTTGTTTAAGTTTAGAGTTAATTGCCTTTTTAATATTAAATTCTGATTCTACAATTAAATGATTTCGTAAGATAATTAGCCAATAGAAGTTATAGTCCTTTTCAGAAATTCTGTTTCAAAATGTATTTAAAGAATGGTTTTATTTAAATACATTCTTGTTGAAAAATAAATTTTACTTTTTTTTTAAATAAGAATGAAATTATTTTTTCTTTCATTGCTTATAACACTAAAAAAATATGTTGTCCTGTAAGATTCATATGTTTTGCTACTTTTTTTTTTTGTCTAATTAAGCAAATTTTTTAAAAGACCGAACTTTTTCCATAAATGATTAATTTACTTTTTATTTAACTTCCAACTTTAATTATAAAAGAAAATGTATTGAAAAACTACAAAAGTGTAAGAAATTCATGAAAAAAATTTTAAAATAATTTTTGTTTCCATAGCTTCGTGTAGCTTAGGTTTCACCAAAAAATTTTATGTGATTGTATAGCTGCCAACTCTACCGGATTTTCCAGTAGACTACTGGATTCTGCCAGTTTCTCTTAGTCTACTGGTTTTATTAAAAATTCTCCTGGTTTTTGTACATTTTTAGATAATTCCCTAAAATTCCTTAAGTTTCATAAAAAATACCTATTAAAATAGCATTTGTCTACAGATTATTGCTTGCTTGAATACTTAAATACGTATTACTATTGCTTTTTTTTTTTCAGAAATCCCTTTTTAAGTTAATTAAAAAGTCTTAACTATCTTTGATGAATTAAATGACTATTACCATTCCAAATTATGAGTATACTTAATACATAACATTTCAAGTATGTTTAATGTGAAATCCTTACTGGAAAATATTGCAGTTTTTCTATCTTGATGACTATAAAAATCCCTAAAATTCGCCATATGTAAAATATTGAGTACATTTATCATGAAATTTGTATTATTTCGTAAAATCGACTAGATTGTTTCCCTATCCATGTTGGCAGCTGTGACATTGTTTTACAAATGAAAAAAAGTTAGACTTAAGATAATATTGGACAGTTGCAAAATTTCTTTATGGTCTCATTTAGTTTTAAGAAGTAGGAGAATATTCAATGTTAAAGCTGAAGTAGTATTTTGAAATTGCCTAAGGATGTAGATATCCCAGTTTTAAAAATTCTATAATTTTTATATGTGAAAATTTTTTCTTTTAATTTCAGTTGATTTTTAATTAAAGAAATATCAACTTTTTAATACTGTGACAATGGTTTTTTCTTTCAGCACCAGGTGCCAAACAGCTGCTGCCAAAGACTTGTGAATTTCCTGTGCTCAAAAGGTATAATTGATATATAGATATATATATATTTAATTCTTGTTTTATTAAAGTGATTTGTATAGATTTTAAATTGTATAATGTGTTTCTTACAAATATAAATGGGTTCAATCCCTGCCGGCTGAAGACTCTCCACATAGTAATTGGAGACTGATGCACGTTAAATCTGTTGAATCACAAAGTCCTCCATGTACCCATAACAAATCAAAACCTCTGAGGGCACTGATCCAGGAGTTTTCTTGTCTTCTGGATTGGGTTTAAAATTATGAGGCTACTGAGTTGAACATTAATAGTCACAAACCCAAAATTAGGTCTGCAGTGCAACGACTTTTGTAAAATAAAATATAAATGGGTCAAGGGATAGAATGTTCACCTTCCAATGAGGTAAACTGGGTTCGAATCCCAGCGATAGCTGATCAATATGAATTCCGCATCCGCCTTGTACCAACCAAAGTTCTGGCGTAAAGTTCAAATTATGCTGTTAGTATTTCTGTTACCTTAACTAGTTGTATAACATAAATTTATTTTTTAGTTTTTCTGCAAGATATAAAGTAGTTTATAGTGATTGTATTCTAAATCAAGAAGGAATATTTGATATAATTACTTAGCCAAAAGAATTTTTTTTTCATTTGAAGTGTCATGTCTGTTACCATATTTAGTAACAGACATGACTTGTTGCAAGTTTGAAATTTCGAAAAAATTATCTCTCTTTAAAACAGATTTTTAACAGAAAATGGAATTCAAATTCTTAATTCCCTATAAAAATTCTTTTTACCCGAATTTTTTAATCTATTTTAACATTATTGACAACCTCTATAATGCTATTTTTCATTTACTAATTTTAGTGTTTCTTAATAAATTTTCAAAAATACATTAATTTTGGAGGTCAATCATATTCCTAGTATATTCTAAATGTTCGAAACACTTTGTATCTTTATGAAATAACATAATTATAAATGTTATTAAGCTCTGTATTAAGCCCCTCTCAAAATTAGGCAAATTCAAACAGAAATTGTGAACCACATTCTTTCAGCAGAAAGATTTTCAGAAGAACAACATTAGGTAAGAAAAAGTGAGAGGGAGACTATTACACTTAACATGATGAAAAGGCAAAATGGATATCTTTTAGACAATTTTAGAAAAATCTTAAGAAGGTTAGTAAAGAAAAATGTATCCGTGAAGGTTCAGTTGTGAGGATTTTCAAAGTGAGCAGCATTCTTTCTGTGCATTTCGATCCACAAATTATTTCCTTGCCATAAAAAAAAATTTTTTATGAGTTCACAAAATCTGTGCATTCTTTTTTGATGACGTTAATGAATGACCTTGTAAATCAAGAAGAATCTAAAGATCAATTTTTAATTCTTTTGAAAAAATATACTTCAGTTTAATGTATGTGCATTCATTAGTAATAAAAATGTAAGAAGAAAAAAGAACAATATGTTTGCATCCTGTTTTTTCCTTCCAGTTAATAAAATGTAATATTCTGATTTACAGTGTAGAAAAATCTATTATGTCTAATACAGGATCCCTACAAAGGCCAAAATGTCCACCACCTCCCACACCCCCAGGTACGGTATTTTGTTTGGTAAATTTAGTCATGGTTTCTAGCTTTATGACTTCTGATAAGTAACATTTGTATTTAAACTTTCATTTAAAACATATTACTTAAATATATTATGTATTTAAAAAAAAAAAGCTCTATTTATAATATATTATAAATTTATGGAAAAAAAGTTAAAGATGTAGAACAGGGTGCGTTGGGTTTTTAAAAAGTGCTTAAAGGTGCTTATTTTCGATTTTTCTTTTTTAATATCCCTTAAAGGTGCTTTGTTCAGCAGGTGTTTTTAAAAAAGTGCTTAATTTTCCCTTTTCGAAAATGAGATATTTTTCTTTGCTATGTCAATTTTCACATTGTATTATGAAAAATCGTGCTTTTCACATTGTTCTATTCAACGTTTTTATAATTCATTCAACCACAATCTATTTCAGCTTACCGTAGGTCCATAGCGTATGAAAGGGCCATTTTACAGGTTTAATGAAATACTTGCGAATCTGCATATGCGTATAGTGAGCTGGGTGCTTTGAAATTGCACTCTCACGTGCAACTCTTCTGCATTTTGCATGATATTCTCAATTTCAAGCTACATTTTCCACACTCTGAAATCTCTTGATCATTTTTTAATGGCTAATATAATCAAGAAAAGAGTTCTTTGTCAGAAGCTAGTTATTTTATCATGATCACATAAAGTCTTTGAAAATAATTTTGCATTTTGTTAATGTATATAGTGCTTAAAAATATTTTCTAAGTGCTTAAAATGTACTTAAAAGGTGCTTATTTTTTGTTGCAAGATTTGACTATGCACCCTGTAGAAATGTGATATTATTTTTTGATAGAAGAAATGCTGGATATGTTTAAAATGATGCAACTTTTTAAGATATATAAATATTTTCTATGTTAGCCATCTTTATTAAGCTGCTGTTGCTGAATCAATAAGCCTAATAATAAAAACTTGTGTTTTCAGATGGTGAAACTGTTATGTTAAAATGTTACTAATTAGCTCTTTAATATATTTCACTAGTTGCTAGTACTGATGCTTTGGAAACATTAAGCAATGGTCAGTCTACTGACAGTTTGCCTCAGTCATGTGACTCAAACAGTAGTCAAAGTCAAACACCCGTACCTCCACCACGGAAAGTAAGTCTGATTTTCTTTAATTAATTTTTTTTAAATTAAGCATGCTCATGGAATTCTGGCTTTTATATTGACAAATAATTTAAATTACAAATTAATGTGATAATCTTTAGCAAGTTTGTCTTTTTTTCTCTTAATGTTTTAGGTTTATAATTGCTTATACTTCTAATGAAAATAGAAATGCAGTTTAATTAATTGTTTATGAATGTGGAAATGATTTAAGTAAACTTTTATTCTTCATCTACTTTTCGATGAATTTCAATTAATAAATTTATTCTTTAGCAAGTTTGTCTTTTTTGCTCAAATGTGTTACATTTGTAATTGCTTATATTTCTAATGAAAATAGAAATGTAGTTTAATTAATTGTTTTATGACTAAGGAAATGATTTAAGTAAACTTTTATTCTTCATTTACTTTTCAATGAATTTTGCTTAATAAATTTATTCAGCAGAAAAACAGCTTTTTGAGATGCATTAACATATTTCAAACATTTTATACACTGCAGGATTAAACTTTGTGTTAAATCAAATAAAAAAGTTTTAATTTTATTTATATTTATTTTAACTGTCTTGAACAATTTGCAGTAACCATAACATAACCAATTGAATTTGTATTCTACAGGGCTCCCACGGGGCAGGGAGAACTGGGAAAACTTGGAACTGTCAGGGAATTTTATTTTAACTCCAAAAATCAGGGAAAGTTGCAATTTTTTTTTACAAAAATCTGTAATATTTCTATATCATACCTGGAAAATAACCAGTCTTACAATGGTCAGTAACAGTAATCAGTTATTGAGATTCGAGTTAAATAATTCTAACATTTATTACAATTATTTGTTGTAAAAATTTCACCTTTTAGACAAACTGAAATGTTCCCATCCTCATTTGATAATAATTTTTTACACAGAAAATCTAATATTTCACATTACAAATTTAAAGAATCAAAATTTTCTGATGAAAATAGTGTCTCGATTTTCATTGAAATTCAACTGATATACCTGGGAAAGTCTAGGAATTTTTTTTTTCTGAAATTGAGTGGAAACCCTGATTCTAATTTTTTTGATGTAGGGTTTTCGTGAATATTAGAAAGTGCTAATCAACAATTTGCCACAATCACACTGTTGGGGTCAAAATTGTGGAGCCCCCATTAGCCCCTGGCTTTTTTTCCAATGAATCTTCATTTAAATAAAATACAATTAAGTTGTTTAAAATTAAGATGATTTTTTTCCACTGTTGTCACAATCTTTATTAACTTCTGATTTTTTTTTAATGAATCATCATCTAAATAAAATAAACTTAATTTTATTTATTTTAAAAATTTGCATCAATGCTATATTTTGTGTTAGTCCATTTAATCAAATTTTTATGTAAAAGTAGCGTTTTCTTCATATTTTGAGATAATAAATTATGTTACTAAACTTGATTTATAATGTTCTGGTGTTTTTAACATAATGAATCCGGATATGATTATTGATTTATCTTTTTGTGTAGAGACACGATCCCATAAAATTGAGGCGGTGCCGAGCTCTGTACGATTGTGATGCGGACAGAGAAGACGAGCTCTCTTTCAAAGAAGGTGAAGTCATCATCATTATCAGTGAAATAACGGATGATGACGACTGGATGGAGGGCATGATAGAGGGTCAAACGGAGAGGCGGGGAGTTTTCCCTTCAAGCTTTGTACATGTTCTAAAAGAATGATTGATATAGGAAGTCCAGGTGATAACATGAAAGTTAGTCTTCCGTTGTTTGTGGCTCTGCCCTTCGCACAAACCAGACAGTTCTTCCTACTTCAAAAAAAAACAAACATCCTTCTTTAAACAGATTCTGATTTAAAGGAACTTAAGAGTTGGTAAATTGCAAAAATATATTACCATAATATCAGTATTTTCCAGTAAATACATGTTTTTGCATCACTTATCCACTACTTTCCTGATTGCTTGCTCAAATTTTGATTTCAATTTTGATACTATAGTATTTTATTTCGTAGACTAGATTGTTTTATTTATTGTGTGATTAACTAGAGTCCTGTGGCAAAATTTTCTCGAGCTTTCTGCGACTTACCTTTCTAATTTTAATATCTTTCTGCAAGATACTAATAAAAATAACAAATATGCATGTTGCTAATTCAAAGTAACAGAAACGTCAACTTCAAAAAAAAAAACTATTTCAAATTAAGTAATTTTTTAAAAAAATAGTAATATTTTAATATTATGGGCGTTATTCTAGTATTTTGTAGGGGAAAAACACACTGATTATTCATTCTCCTTTTCGTATATTGTAAATCGTCATCACATTTAAAAAATTCATGAAATCCATAGCAGAAAAAGATTGAAGTACCGAAAAAAAAGATCGGCGAAATCACGCGAATCCGGATGATGAAAAGGGTTACTATATGCGTATTTCCAGATTCCGTTGTTGTAATAAATAGTATTGTATAAAAGATATCGGATTTTGAAAACTATGTGAAAATCAATAGTAATGACTGCATAAAAAGTTTTAGAACGAAAATTTCTGCAGAAAAGAAACCATATTTTTTACTTTATTCTTTGTGTTTCATTATTCCACTCCAATGTGCGAGAAAGGCACCTTTTGATTATAATTCTGAAGAAAAGATAAATCTTTCTGCAATAACTCGGTAGCGTTCTTCGACAATGTCGCCAGGATACTGCCACTGGGAACTCGAGGTTTTTTTTTATTTTTACCTTAATGATGCAAGTGACCTCTTTATTCTGTTTAATATTACAGTGGTTGCTGCCACCAATGAATTAAAAAATCAGTCTCTCTTTTTTAAATCATTTATGCTAGAATGGACTTTATCAAAACATGCTAAAACTATCCTTTTATAAAATCATTACTGCTGTTTTGATAAGAACAAAATATTTTTAGGCATGTATTTAAATAACAAAGAGCTCAGATTTTTTTGTCTGAATAATTAGAAATTTTTTATGTTTTGACCAGAACGACAAATTGTCCCTACGTACAAAAAGAACTAAGTTGTAAATGTGATTTACATCTAGGGAAATTGAAGTGTTGTACGTTTGATAATGTAAAAGAATCCTTATGAAAACTGCTCTAGAATGCCTGTCATCATTTGATCGTTATTCACTCAGTAAGATAAATCTATTTTCAATAGAAGTTGGAAAAGCAATTTGTTATATATGAAAGGAATTTTACATTAAAGGAAGTTAAAAAAAACTTTTAACTCGTGTAGAATCTTAAACTTTGCTAGTCAGGCATAACCGCTTATAGTTAAGAACTCATCCTGTAAAATAAAATTTTTAATTCTTGTTTAACTAAAATGTAAATTATGTAAAATACAATCTAAGCACAGTAATTAATTTAATTGTTAGTGCAAATTTACTTTGCTGATAAAGCATGGCCGTTTTATTTTGCTGATCAAGCATTACTGCTGTAAAACTCTGATTTTACCAAGAAGAAAAGATAGTTCAAAATATTTTTTTAAACATCGTATAAAATATATTTGGTTAAAGAAAAAAACTCAATTTAAAATATAGCGCTTGATTCTTTATTTCTTTGACTTCTTGGCTATTGAAATTCATATATATATATATATAGTACAGTAGGGAACCGATTATCCTGAACGATCGGGACCATTGCTATTCCGGATATCTGATTTTTCTGGTTTTCTGAATCGCTACAAAAAGCCGTTTTTTTATTGTTAAACCCAACTAAAAAAAAAATTGTTTGGGAAATAATCTTAAAAAGAACAAAAAACCATGAAGTAATACACTAATGATTATTTCCAAAAAGACAGTAAGGTAAACATCTTTCAAAAAAGAAAGAGAAATCCTAAAATCTTATGAAGAAAAAAAAATTATTTTTTAAAAATATGGTTGGAAAATTTATCGAATTTCGTTCTGGTTTTCTGATTTCCGGATAACGAGTTCTGTACTGTACAATAAATAAATACGAAAAGGGAAAATTAAGAAAAGCAATAAGTTTTATTTACTGTGCGTAAGCTGCAAGTATATGGAACCCATAAAATAAGTTCAAAAAGTAAAGAAAACATAGAAAAAATTACAATGAAAAAAAGCAAAAAAAAATTTTTTTTTTTAAAGCTCCTTTTTGCGGATATAATCATGTAAGCTGATGAAGAGATTATATATTTTTTCCGGATTTTTATTAGTTTTTTTTTCTTGTTAAAAATAATTTTTTTTTTCTCTTTTTACGTTGTAATTTCTTTCATGTTTTCTCTACTTTTTGAACTTATATTAATATATATATATATATCACTTTTATTTTTATTTGCATTGGAAAATTTATATATATATTTAAAATATAGTTGTTAATGTTGTTAACAACTGCTGCAATTTTTATAATCAGCGTCTTATAAAAATTACCAAAGAATCTTTTAGTTAATCCACTCAATGCATTTTTCTCCCCAAACTCTTAAGTTCTTTTAAGTTGTATCATTTTTTTTCTTCTGTGTTTATAATCATTCTATGTTTTTGACACTTTATAGTATATTTTTGGTTTTGATCAAAGTATTAATTATCATGTATTATTACCAAATTGTTTCAACGCTCTCTTCTTTTAATTTTTTTGCAATCCATTAATGTCAGTTCTTTCGGTTTGTTCATAAAATACATAGATTGGAACTCTTTTTTTCTATCATATCTATTCAGAAACATTAAAATTTTTAGGGAAAAAAATAATATTTTAATTTCTTTTATTATATTTCAAACAGAAATATAAATTTTTAACTCATGATCATAACTCAAAATGTTTTTTATGATTTTATCCACAACAAAATGATATCAAATTCAGTGACCAAAAAAAATGTACCTTCTTTGTTGGTCTCTTTGTTTAAAAGTGCTGAACTGTCTGTTGTGAATGCTCGAGTGGCAACTTGAAGCCAACCTAGCTGCAAATCAATGGAGGCCAGCTTGCTTGAGAAATTAAGACGACTTGTGCACAATACTGACCGTAATCATGTTGTAGGTCATGAAATTCTGGAACCTTAACCTCTTTGAGCCCCCTAGTAAATAAAAATATGGTGCATAGCGTTTTTAAAAGATACATTTTTATTTTTGTTTTTTAAAAGCCATTATAGGTACTTTTTACATTGGGTCTTTTTTAAAAGGTACTTAATTTTCCTTTTTCGAAAATGAGATTTTTTTTTACTGTGTCTAATTTTTGTCACGTACTAAGCAAAAAGCATGACTTTTACATTGTTCTTTTCAATGTTTTCCCAATTCATTCAACCATAATCCATTTTAGCCTACCATTGATCTGTAGCTATGGCGTGTGTGAATTACTCTTATTTATCTGACAAATTTTAAAATTCTTCTGATGAAATGTATTTTATGGGCAACCCTTTTAGTTCTGGCAATGGATTTCTAACTAGAGATAGGAGAAACAATTCATATTTATATGCTAGTCATGTTTATTTTACATTTGTGTTGTTATTCTGAATCTTACTTAATTAAAATTTATTTTTCTGAAAAATATTGGAAGTAAAAAATTCAAAGTTTTTTTTTTCTTATTTAAGAAATTTTTTTAATTGCTAGTAATGTCGATGTTTGTCTTATTTTTGGCTCTAAGCTGCTGTTGGATTCAATTAAAGAAAAATAATTGAAACTTCATATTATGTGTCATTTATTTGCTTTAGAGATTTTATTTGTAGAGATGCCAACTAATATAAATTCTTAAACCATTATAAAATTTCTTCTACAAAAGTCTATTATTTTATGTATAACACACACATACATACCTTATTACAGTTGCTATGTAAGGTTCATTGTTTTTTATTACAATATTTTATTTGGTTATACTTACGTCAACTTATTATTTGCTACATTTATATTTTTGTTCATTAACTCTTCTATTTAAAATTTTGATGATAAAAAAAGTTGTTGTATTCAATAATCAGAGGTCTGTCCGCGGCAAATTTTCTACCGTTTAGCTTTACCTTCACAAATTCAACTTGAAAAAAACGGTAGTTTCACAAAATACTTTTAAGAAAGCAAGTTATGATACCTCCCCCCCCTACCTTCTTAAAATTTTGATGTTGTATCCTCGTAAAAAGGATAAACCCGTGTTTATTTACGCATTTCAATTTGCAATGGAACGTTTCCCATGGATTGCTATTATGATGTAGTAGAAGAATTCGCTTCCTACACGGTTTGCAAGAAAGGCACTTTTCCTCCCCATGCCTGGTTGAAAGCATGTCGGGATTCCAAAACACCATGGGGGAAACGGAACGTCAGCTACTCTGTTCCTTAATTGAAGTGGAGGGAAAAGCGGCAGTACCATGCAAATCCCGTTCTCGTTGCAATCTACGGAGAAAAAAAAGGAGCTTTTCTGAGTAAAAGGAGCTCTTCTACAAATAGGTAGCATGTGTTTCGTCTGTTAGTGCAGTGTGGTAAGCCTAACCCATCTCTTACGCCATATGAAAACAAGCTTTTTTTAAAAAAAGAAATGACAAGGCTGTCCCTCTGACAAGTTTACTCAAAGGCGAAATTCAAACTTTTATTTTTTTTATAAAACATTTTTTTTCTTCTGTGAAACTTTTTTCTCTGTGACCCAGTCGAAAATGTTCTCATAATGAAGATAACTCTTAGTGCTAGTACTGTTAAATGTATGTTTGCATTAAGTTGAAATTTAACTATGGACAATAATTTTTATGAATTTTTAAATTTGGACACAATTTTTAGCCCTAAATTTCACAATAGCAAAATTGTTTTTGAACAAACGGGAAAAATATGTATAGAAATTTACCAGTCATAAATGATTTTTATTTGTAGTGACAATTTTTGGAAATATTTTCTTATTTTACCATATTTTTGTGTTGAATTTTTAATATGATTTTTAATTTTCACAAATTAGGTCTAAATTTTCACAAAATAGGTACCTCTTAAAAAAACCTAGACAGATCCCTGAGAGTCACTCATTGGCTTCCATTTGTGCAATAAAATGCCTTTTAACCCCTTAAAGATCGGTTAATTTTCAAGAAAACAGTCATGAAAGTGCCTATTTTTTGGGTTTTAGTATTTGTATTACATATTTTATTAGTGCTGACATCAAGTTTAAAATAAACTAACTATCTACAATTACCATGAAAATATCCTGGTACTGCCATCTGGTGTGTAAAATGAGAAATAAAGTGTTTTCCGGGCTAAAGATGAATTAGTTCTATTCTTTTTGGCACGTTACTACTGAACACTCCAGCCCGTCAATATCACGGGAGCAAGAATTAGAGGTGAACCCTCACCCTGTCATTTTCACGGGAGCGAAAAGAAAGGGGTTAATGAACAAGACTATAAAATTGTTTGATTGACTAAATTTCCCTTTAATGCTTAAAAATCA